CCTCTAGGTTTCTTCACCCACTGGCCAACCCTCTACTACTGTCCTCAGTGACATCTGACATACCATTCTGACCCCAGGACACAGCCATGCTGAGGCTGTCTCTGTCCCCAACTGCCAGTCCTTCCAGTCTTTCATGTCTCTTCCTTCCTGACCCAAAAGTCCTCCCCTTGTTTCCCACCAGCTAAGCCTCTAGCTAAATCATCAGATGGGGGCCCCAGAGGGCCTGAATACCTATCTCCTTGGCTGCACCCCTCCTCTGGTAGTGCCATCCACTTGACCATGTGTTTCTGAGCAATGAGCCTGCGTCACTGGAAGCACTTGGAGCAGGCTGGACCGGATGTGGCTCAGGACAGTTTTCCCCTATGAAGGCCTCACTTGGGGCAGGACCACCTGGAGGGAACATGTATGTGTTAGTCAGCTTTCTGTTACTATAACAAATTCCAGAGCTAAGCCAACTTATAAGAGAAAAGGTTCATTTGGGCTCAGTTTTGTGGGTTTCAGTGCAGGACCCGTTGGGCCTGTTGCTTCGGGGCTGTGGTGAAGGAGCACATCCCGGCAGGACCGTGTGGCAGAGGAAGCTGCTCACCTCATGGTGGCGGGAAAGCAAAGGGAGGGGGCAGAGGAGGTGCCAGGATCCAATATCCCCTCCAAGGGCCCCGTTGCCAACTTCCTCTCACTAGTCCTCGACTCCTGAAGGTTCCCTCACCTCCTACGGGCTCCAAGGGCTGGGGACCAAGCTGCCAGCACGTGGACCTCTGGATGACATTCAAGATCTGAACTCTCTGGGTTCATTTCCAGGCAAGAGGTGTAAGGTCTCACCCTCACACAAAGCCTCTGATCCAGGGGTCTCGAGTCTTCCCATCTCCTGGGCGCTGGTCTCTCCTCCCTTTGACAAGCAGGGGCTGGGACCACCTCCCCCGTTCCCCTCCTAGACGAGGCCAGCAGCAGCAGGTAGGCTGGAAGTCCAAGCTCACACGGGAGCAAGGACACCCAACGTCTAAGGGAGCTGAACGTGGGGCTGAGGGAAAGCAACGGCCATCGTTTTGCTCGGCCCTGGGCGAGGAGAGCCCCTGGACTTCTGCCCGAAGTCCACTGCAAGGTCAAGGCCAGCTGCCTCCTCTTGGAGCCCCTTGCTGTCGGTGCATGGGTGGCATCGCAGGTGAGGCGTTCTCCGTGAAGCCGGGGCAGAAGGCGAGAAGGCAGCTTCTGGGGAGGAGCCGCCGACCTTTCCAAACGCCTCGGCTGGGCCGCCCCGAGCCTGCTGCAGCTCCCAGTTCACGCACCTCGGGGAGAAGTGACATTTCAGCAGCTATTGGGACTACAGGCCATGGACATCTGCAACGGTGGCACATATCTGCTCCCTAGATACCATTTTTGGAAACAGGTAAGAGTTGTTTCCACCCCCTGGTACGTTAAGTAGGAAATCGTGGTGACACTCTCCACTCAAAGGTGACTGACCTCTTCTTGGGAGGCTGCAGAAAGCGCGATTCCGAAGCATCTGACCCCCCGCGGGCTCCAGACCGACGTGCGAACACTGCCCCCTGGTGACGATGGTGGAAATTACAGAGGAGCTCGTGATAGGTAAATGAACCCCTTAAAAAAAAAAAAAAAGCAAAATCAAAGCCAAGTCTCAGGACAGCAGCCCTGGAATCTGTAAAGGGCAAAGAGCTCCTAGTTCTCCTCTTGGCCAAAGGGTTCCCCTGAACCTTTTCAAGGGTACCTTTTGAAATTAAATTCATTCGATCTACTCAGCTAACTCTAATCTTTTGCTAGGAATCAGTATTTTCATCCTTTTTAATTTCTTTTAAAACTCAGAGACGTGACGTGCACTTTCACATATATTTATCCAGACGTTAGGACATTTTCATATACATTGCCTGCACAAGTCTTCCCTGTACATTTTTGATGAACATTCACACTTGTGTAATCCCAAGCAAGACAAAAAACAAAACAAAACAAAAAACACTGTCATCACCCTAGAAAGACCCCTATGCCCTTCCCAGGCAGCCCTCTCCTTCGAGGTGATGACCCTCTGATTTTATGTCACTCTATCTTACTCTTGATTTTTTTTAGAGCTTCACATAAAAGGAATCACATGATGTCGTACCATAGCTTTCTGACTTCTCGAACCCAACATCATGTTTTGTAACCTCCCATGTACGGGTAGCACCTTCTTTTTATTGTTGAGTGGCAGGTCATTGTGCAAACATACTGCAATTTGTTTTTCTATTATACTGCTGAGGGACATGTGTGTCGGGATATTTCCGGTTTGGGCAACTATGAATGGCACAGCTAGGAACACGCTTGCCCAAGTCTTTATGTGGACATGTTTTCATTTCTTTTGAACAAACTTCCAGGACTCAGACTCCTGGTCAATGGGTAACTTTATAAGACACTGCCAAGCTGTTTTCTAAAGTGGCAGGAACTTTTTTACCTTCCCACCAACAGAGATTCCTTTCATTTTGAACGCTGGGAAGAATCTAATTCTACATGAGCAAAAAAAAAAAAAAAAAAGATAATCAACGTTAACATAAACAATGTTATCAACAGTGTTGGGTGAAGTATTCTGTAAAAACTCTTCACACTTTGAAGTGGGCATGCTGGGTGGAAACGTAATAAACCAGCTCAAGAAGTCATAAGAGTTACCCGCAGAGGTCAAAACAAAACAAGGTCATTCCTCACTAAAAGCTCCGGGGGGATTCTTGGAGGATGGGGATCCCAGATTTGGTACAAGGAATAGACAAAGAGACCTTCCATTGTAGCAGGAAATAAGGAGATGTCCAAAGGAAAGCGCAGAGCCAGCAGGAAGGGCTCCCACCTTGCACACTTTGTTACAGTTGAATGGCGGAGGTAATAGTTCCAGGACAGATACAGTAACCCCCCTATCCACAGTTCTACTTTCTGTGGCAGTTTATATTACATAGACAACTACATCTGGAATTGTTAGATGGAAAATTCTGGAAATAAACAATTCATACTTTTTCAATTGTGCTCCTATCTGAGTAGCATCGTTCTTTATCTACTCGAGAATATGCATCTTCCCTTTGTCCAGTTCATCCAGTTCATGACTGTAGTCACCTGTCAGTCAGTAGCTGTCATGGTTATCAGAGTGACTGTTGAGGTATCACAATACTTGTGCTCAAATAACCCTTATTTTATTTAACAGTGACTCTACAGTGCAAAAGCAGTGATGCCAGGAATTCAGATATGCCAAACAAAACCTTTAAAAAAATAATAGAGAGAGACTTCGGCACTACTTTGGGTTTCAAGCATCTACTGGGAGTTTTGGATAAATAAGGACTATTGTGTTGGAACAAAGGACTTGTGTCAAGAATATACATACAGAACTTTCACAAAGTAATAAAAATATAATTTAAAGAAATGGATGAAAGACTCCAGCAGAGGCTGAGAGTACAGTGTGTGCTCGGCATGTATAAGGCCCTGGGTTCAATCCCCAGCAGACTCACCCAACCCAAAGATTTAGAGAGCCGCTTTGAAACTGAAGCTATCCAAACACCCAATAAGCATTTTAAAAATGATGATCATTTGGGAGATGAGAAGCAATGGCCTGTCTTGACCTAAAGCTGGGGGTGGCTCCCAGGCTTCTGCATACAAAAGGATTTACCAGGCTGGATGCTGAAGCTCTGTCCTGTTAGGAATGTTCAGCCTCAATTAAAGCATATTTTAAAAAGAATCCATGAACGCTTAGTGATACTGAAGCCAGGGCAGGAGGTGCAGATGGAAAGCTCTTTCCTAAGAATAGCAGCTACTGCGTGTGGAGGGAATAAGGGAACTGGGAACCCCACTGACAAGCACTGAGGCAACGGCCAGCTCAGGCAAGGGTGATCGAGGCGACCACAGACACCAGGTGAACCGAGGCTGCCATCAAGATTTCCTTAGGCTGCTTATTAAGTATGAAGGGAGGGAACTTGGGCAGTTATCAGTGCAGTGGTCACATTCAGCCTTAGGAACAGGACCAGCTGGTATCTTGAGCCTCTTGGTGAGATTTAAAAAAAAAATTATATTTTTAGTTGTAGTTGGACACAATACCCTTATTTGATTTACTTATTTTTATGTGGTGCTGAGGATTGAACCCTCGCACGTGCTAGAGGGGGGCTCTGCCCTCTGAGCCACAGCCCCAGCCCTCTTGTGAGATTTAATGAGAGTCATATAAGAGCTGTGTAGATTTTTTTTTTTTTTTGCCCAAAATGCTTAATCTGGACCTAATCACAAGAAAGGACAAAAAACACAGTGTAATAACACTGTTGATAATATTGTTTATGTTAATGTTGATTATCTTTTTTTTTCTACAAAATAACTGTCCTAGACTCCCCAAAATATTTGTGTCATGAAAGACAAAACAAGGTGGAAAGATTATTTTATTATTATTATTATATTTTTAGTATTGGGGATGAGCCTAGGGGCCCTTACCCACGGAGCCCCATCCCCAGCCCTTTTTTATATTTTATTTAGAGACAAGATCTCGCTAAGTTGCTGAGGCTGGCCTTGAACTTGTGATCCTTCCACCTCAGCCTCCCAAGCCACTGATGGGCTCCTCTGCACCTGGCAGACAGATCATTCTTCACTGAAGGGGACTGAAGAGGCAGGACTACTAAGTGCAGCATGTCACCATTGATTGGCAACTGGACAGGGGACTGCAATGGCATCTGGGGATCACTGTGGACGATGAAAACTGAGTAGGTCAGGTAGTATTCTTGTATCAGCATTAGCTTTCTCAGGCCAGGTATAGCAGGTAATGTGGAAGACAGTATTCACTCTCCTAAAAGACACCTGCTGATAAGGTCATGTGCAAAGGAACAATAAAACATCATAGAGATTCTTCAAAAAATTAAAAATAGAATTACCACATAATCTGCGGATCCTCTTTGGGGATTGTTATGGCTTGGGTAAGTGTCCCCCAAAGGCTTGGTTCCAAGCCTGTGGCCTTACTGGGAGGTGGTACCAAGTGGGAGGTCTCCTGCTCCTTAGGGGTGTGCCTGTGTAGGGGACATTGGGACCTTAGCCCCTTCCTCTTTCATTCCTGGCCACGAGATGAATGTGCTTCCTCTACTAGGTGCTCACACCAAATATACTGCCTGGCCACAGGCCCAAAAGCAATGAGGACAATCAACCATGGACTGAAATCTCCAAATCTATGAGCCAAAGTAAGCCTTTCTTCTTCTTAAGTTGATTATCCCTGGCACTCTGTTATAGTAAGAGAAAGCTGACACAATTATGTATCTAAAAGAATGGAAAACAGGATCTCAAAGAGACATTAGCCCATCCGTATTCATTGTTTAAGTAGCCAAGAGATAGAAGAACGAAAATGGCCATTGACAGATGAGTGGATAAAGAAAGGTCCAATGCACCAGATCAGCCACCCATGGACTGAAACTTCTGAAACCAGGAGCCAAAATAAATCTTTTCTCCTCTAAGTTGTTCTTGTTAGGTATTTTGTTCACAGTGACACAGAAAAACTACAGAGATGTAGAGAGAAGAGAAAGGAGGAAGAGGAGGAAGAGGAGGAAGAGGAGAGAAGCAGCAGCTATCAGGCCAGACCGCAGGGGTGGGTGCACAGGCATCCGCTTTGTGCGCTCACTGAAAACACGAAGCGGGAGTTTATTGTATGTCTACTTTGCTTGTTTGTTTGTTTGAGAATTCATGTTTATGGAATAACTGCTGTGATACAACCTGTAATTTATGAATTCCAAAATAAATAAAATTTCACTTTTGGAACATTTGATCTGTTACTTCTTAACACCAACAAACTTGGTAACAGCCTGATGCTGACTGACAATGGGTTGACAATTCTTCCCCCACCTGCGCTTCAGTCTGCTTAACAACAAGTCCTTCACTGCTTTTGTCATTTGCTCAGGGGGTGGCCTACTGCCCTCCTTTCTGTACAGTCTGGGCAAACCAAATGGTGACAATGAAGTGTCAATGGAGTGTCAATGAAGTGGTCCCCACAGCTGGAGAGACAGTTTTCAAATGGAGAGTTAGGCAATCCCAGGGCTTTTGCACACATTTATCCCAACCCAGCTCCATGAAGTGAAGCACCTGTGCTGTGAGCTGCCCTTCCTGCTGTTCAGCGGCCACCAGGTGCTGTGACTCCGCTTCGTCCACCATTCTCAGAAACTTTGGGTGAGGGCCCGTGCATGTGCTGTAAGTATACGTTGTCGTTAAAGTTGAGTCTGCAAAAGCCAAAACAACTATTTTAAAAAGACTAGTAAAACTGACAAGCATCTGCAAGCAGAGTCAAGATTAAAAGGATGTGAACCACCACACCAGGAAGAACAAAGGAACACAGCAGACAGAACAACAAAATCGAAAGTCAAGGCACAACGGACTTAGTGACAAAGGATATGCTTTTAGGAACAGCTAATGAAAAGTTCAAGAAGAATAGAAAATCTGACGAGCTCCTAAAAACAGCTGAAACACACCCTGTAAACACAATGATTCCATTTTAGCAGGGGAATGCCACCAAACCTTCAAGGAACACAAACTCCTCCAGGGGTGGGGAAAAGACTATGTGGGGGAGTCTGAGGAATGCACGATTCTTTAACTCTGAAAAAAGATGTCAAGGTAACTTATCATGTTAGTAGAGAAAAACAAAGATGCAGATTTTACTACTGTTTAAGAAAACTTATTTTACTAAGATATAAGAAGACCCATTCCATTGTATCTGTAGTCATTTTTATTGCGCTACACCATCAAAAAGCACACATGATATAAATAATGACACCAATAATCAGTTATGCAGCACTTGATAGCTTACAAATCCTTTTGTATCCATTTCCTACCTAATTCTAACCACTCTCAGGTGGCTACATGAACACACACACATATATGAGACAGCTCTCAAAGGGTGAAGTGACTTGACTCAAATCTCAGTTACTTTCATTCTTTTGTTGGTTCTCTATGATACCATGTATCAAATTAAAATAAAGATAGCCACATATAGGTAATACATAATGGGGAAAAGTCCAAAATTGTTAACTCTCCATTTTCCAGTGATTCTCACATGCTCTTAGGACAAAGATACGAATGAAAAATTTGAACACCACAGTGGTGAATATTCTTAGCCATATCTATTTTTCCTTCTCAAACTTGTCATCTACAATTAAACACTGGTGTTTCCCCAACTCAAAAGCATGTCTCCCCCCAGGGCAGACGACGCAGCCTGTTTCCATCTTCCCAGTGGGCAGCTGGTCGTGGGGAACTGGGGAGCACTGCTCTCGAGGCTCATCTCTCATTCTCTGTGCGTGGCCTCTGTGTGCCCTGGACTTTTGGGTTGCACTCGACACGACCTGACATGCCATTTCAGTGTCCCCGGCAAGGCTGCCAGGGAAAGATGGAGTGGTGCTTCCCCCTCGCCCTCTCCCTAAACACAGCCAAATATCCTGGATATTCCATACAAAACAAACACAAGAAGTTTCTAAAAGGGGAACAAGAATGGACTGGCTAGGGACCAGGAGCCCAAGGACACCACAGCAGTGAGCTCTTGGGACTCTTCACATCTCTTCTTTGCCAAATTGCATTGTGGAGAAGCTCGCAAACCAGGAATGCCAACAGGTATGGCTTTGTTAAAGACCAAGAAAAGTCTACCCTTTCTAGCAAAAGGAGCAGCCCAGCAAGACAGAAGACTTTGAGGCCCTATTCTTAAAGTACATGGGAGACATCTGAAGCCCTATCCCCACCAACAGACTGAGTGGGAGCATGCCCTCCAGCCTCTCCACGCTTTAACAAGCTCCCCAACCCTCCATCCCACTCTGGGGTGGTGTTGGGAAAGGTCAAGGGGACATGTTTTCTGTCCATCCTCACACTTGCAGTCTCAGTGGAGACCACATGGAGAGACAAGGCTTCCATCTCTACCCCAGGATAAGATGCCTCTCCTTGTCCTTGCTGGTGTCAGTGGGCCTAGTGAAGTCAGGACTTAGGCCAGAGCCTAGCGGTGAGGAGCTCACCCCACCCCGCCCCACAGGGGACAGACCTAGGCATCCATGGCCTCCCCAGCCAGGGTGATCTGCAGAGGCCGGGTGGGGAGCTGTGAACCCCACTGCTGCCCAGCAACCTTGAGGACCCTGACCCCCATAAACAGAGGCCCATGATAAAACTGGACTTGTAACACCAGCTTGAGGTACTGAAGCAGCACCCCAGCTTCTCCACTCGTGGAGGCGGAGGAAGCCCATGGAAACAGAAGGCTCAAATAGACACGGAGTCTAATGAACCTCAAAATGTCCAGGTTCCAATACAAAACTCCTCATCACACCAAGAGCCAAGGAAATTCTGATTTGAGTGGAAAAATTGTCCACAGATGCCAACACAAAGAGATGACACAGGTGTTAGAATTGCCTGGCCCAGATTTTAGGGCTCAAATTAAAAAAAAAAAAAGTTTCAGGAAAGAAAGTGAATAATAAAATGAAACTGAAAAAATACACTGAAATAAAATTCAGTGATAGGCTCTAAAGCACAATGGAAGAACCCTCTGCGGACCTGAAGAGCAGAAAAACGTCCAATGTTAACAATAGACAGAATTACTGGGACTGAACTGTGCACTCCCCGCCGCCACAGTTCATTACACTGAGACCCCATCTCCAAGGTGACTGTATATGGACAGAGGCTCTCAGGAGGTAACCAAGGTTAAAAGAGGCCATATGTGGGGTCCTGGTCCAATAGTTTTGACGGCCTTTTGAGAGGAAGGGACGGCTCTCTCTCTCCACACACATGTATTGAGGTAAGGCTACATGAGCATACAGTGAAAAGGCCCCATCTTCAAACAAGGAAGAGAGCCCTCACAGGGAACCAAACCCTGCTGGGCCTTGCTTTTGAACTTCCAGCCTCCAGAACCATGATACATCTCTCATTTGGGCCAACCAGTCTATGGCCACCTGAGCAGACTGATTTTGGTACCCCAAAGTGGGATGCTACCTAAAAATGTGGAGGTGGCTTTAGAACTGGGAGCTGGGTAGAGACTGGAAGAATTTTGAGGTACATCCTAGATGCATGGGATTTAAAGGCTGTGCTGGTGTGGCTCGATGGTTAGACGGCGATGGAACGTGTTAACAGAACTAGAGGAAAGATGATCCTTGTTATAAAGTTGCAAATAACTTATCTGAACTGTATGTTAGTGTTTTGTGGGAGGCAAAATTTGGGAGTGATGAAATTAGATATTTAGCAGATTTCTAAGCAAAGTATTGAAGGTACAGCTTAAGTCCTTGCTGCTTCGAGGAAGAAGTAACAGGAAAGATGAACTGAAGAATGAAATGCTAAGCAAAAAGGAATCTGAACTTGAAAGTTTGCAAAATTGTATTCATACAGCAAAGAACGAGAAAGTTTGTTAGGAAGAAGTACCAAGGATGTGGCTGAACAACCATTTGACAGAATTCCTCTTGGTTTCAACAGGCAGACATCTTTAGCTGAAGCCTGAGGCAAGACTGCCCTGCAGAGCCTTGGGGGTGCGGCCATCTGGCAGAACTGCAGGGGCAGGACTGACACTTCAGTGGGTCCAGAGACAGTGCATTAAGCCAACAGAGGACTATCTTCAAGTCTAAGGATCTAATGGGGTTTGCCTTGCTAGGTTTAGGACTTGCTTGGAGTCCATTACCCATTCCCTCTTCCGTTTCTTCCCTTTTTTACAGAAATGGTGCCTCTATGCCCAGCCCACAGTTGTATTTTGGAAGCAGTAACTTATTTGGTTTCATAGGTTCACAGCTGGGGAGGAATTTTGCCTGAGGATGAATCTCAAATCTCACTCATACCTGACTTAGGTGATATTTAAAGTTTGAATTTTAGATTTTAAGGTTGACAGAATGAGTTAAAATTTTGGGTGTATTTTTCATGCATGGACAAGAACTCTGTGTGTGTGTGTGTGTGGGGGGGGGTGCTATAAACTGAGCTGTGTCTTCCCTAGAATCCATTTGTTAAAGTCCTTACTCCCAGCGTGACTGTAATTGGAGAGGGCTTTTGGGAGGTAATTGTGACTAGGTGAGGACCAAAATATGGGGTCCTTACCTAAGGGAACTGGAAGCCTTATAAGAAGAGGAAGAGACTCCCTCTCTCTCTCTCCCAGTCCACGCACTGAAGAAAGTTCATGTAAAGACAGAACACAAAGGCATCCACCTGTAAGCCAGAAAGAGAACCCCAGCTAGCAGCAGAGTCACATGGCACCCTGATCGAGACTCCCCAACATGCAAAACTGCAGGAAATAAACTTCTTGAGCTGCCCAGTTGGCGGAGTTTCGTTATGGCAGACTGAGGCAAAAATATATTTAAAAAGGAAAAAGAAAAAGAACAGAGCTCAGAGCTCTGAAACTGTAGGATTGCAACCAAAGATCTAATAGTTCTGTCATCAAGAGACCAGAAAAGAGAAGAGGCAGGGCAGTGGTCTGAAAATGTATTCTGAAGAAATGATGGCTGAAAATTCCCTAAATTTTGCAAAAAACATAAACATACACATTAAAGCAGCACAACAAACTCCAAAGGTCCACTCAAAAAACCACACCAAAACCACAATACGATGAAGCTTCTAGAAATTAAAGACACTGGTCTCAAAATGTTTTCAATAATAACCTTCAAAATTTCAATTAAATATGTTTTACACAAAGATGTCATTTGGCTCTAATCAAGAGAAAAACAGTAAAGGACAAGTATTTCATAGTCTTCTCAAGTTTTCACAATCTAATATGCAATTCAGTGCAAGTTTACAATTAAGCTTTACTATGGTATAAAAAAAAATCTAAGGTACACACTACCAACAACTGAGGTAAATCTTCATAAATAAACATTCTCAGGTAACTCAGATATGTTAAAACAGACTGAACACATCAAAGGTCTCTTCTGTTCTCTCCCTTTCGAGCTCTAGGCCATGATTCTTGGAGTGAACTTGTTCTCAGTAGGGGACATCTCAATAAGTAAGGTCTAAAGGACAGATGGAGCTGCAGGGCCCCTGGGCCAGAATTCCTTAGTTTCAGGGTAAAGGTGCCTTCACAGAAACTCTGGGACCCACCAACAAGCAGGGGCAATGGTGTTCCTGGCTGTGAACACTTAGTTGAGCCGTTGTCTCCATCAGTACTGCTTGGGCTCTCTCCCCAGGTCTTTCTCTCTTTTTTTCCATCTCCCTCCTTTGTATCCTTGAACTTCAGGCTGAAGGACAACTTCTGTTCCTCCACCATCCTGACCCTGGACAAACTGTGAATTCCCATCTCTAATTTCTACCCCTGCAGCTCACCACTGATCTCTTTAGCCTTATGAGACAACCCAGCCAGATGCCCCCTTTCCCCGTGGCATACCCTATTTCTCCCTCAAGGATCTGGTAGTTTACATACACGAGAAATAAATTTCCTCTTTCCCCAGGGGAAGTCACAGTGCCCTCCATTAGGACACCTTAAAACATGTAAAACCTCTCTTTAGCAGTCTTGGTAAGTACAGCCACATCAACGACGACTTTTTTATTCTTTATGGTCCTCACAGCATGTCTGGTAAACCCAGTAAATACACCCTTATGTGCATTCACCCAGTATGGATCCTCTCTGTTGGCCAAAGGCTGGATGCTCATTAAGGGCCACTGCGTGTTCCTTGGTTTTCCCTCCCCCGTGTGTTTTTTGGTGCTGAGAAAGGGAGGAACTCTGGCTGAAGGCCTTCCCACAGGCCTGGCACTTGTAGGGTCGTTCTCCAGTGTGTGTTTTCTGATGTTTTGTGAGAGATGAGCTCTGGCTGAAGGCCTTCCCGCAGTCCTTACACTTGTAGGGTTTCTCTCCAGTGTGTGTCCTCTGATGACGAATGAGTGCTGAGCGGTCACTGAAGGCTTTGGCGCAGTCGGTGCATTTGTAGGGCTTCTCCCCAGTGTGAGTCCTCTGGTGCTGGGTCAGGGCAGAACAGTAGCCAAAGGCCTTGCCGCACTGGCTGCACTCATAGGGCCTCTCCCCGGTGTGAGTCCTCTGGTGCTGGATCAGGCCTGAACGGTCACTGAAGGCCTTGCCGCACTCGTTGCACTTGTAGGGCTTTTCCCCTGTGTGGATGACCTGGTGCTGGGTGAGGAAGGTGCTCTGACTAAAGGCCTTGCCACACTGGCTGCACTCGTAGGGCCTCTCCCCGGTGTGGATGCGCTGGTGCTGGGTGAGGTAGGAGCTCTGGTTGAAGGCCTTGCCGCACTCACTGCACTCATAGGGCCTCTCCCCGGTGTGGATGATGTGATGGCGGATGAGGGCGGAGCGGTGGCTGAAGGCCTTCCCACACTCGTGGCAGGCGTAGGGCTTCTCTCCAGTGTGGACTCTCTGGTGCAGAGTGAGGTGAATGCTCTGGCTGAAGGCTTTGCCACAGTCCTTACACTCGTAGGGCTTTTCTCCCGTGTGAATTCTCTGATGCAGGACAAAAGCCGAGTAGTAACTGAAGGCTTTGTCACACTCGTCGCACTTCCACGGTTTCTTCCCTGCACACATCCTCTCATGCTTGATTATATCTGAATTTTGTTTCAAGTTCTTTTTAAACGAATCAAAGTTATGAAGTCTCTCTCCTTGTTGTTGGACCAGTAATGACCGCCGGCTCAGATTTCTTCTAAATTCATCACACTGGTAACTTCTCTCCCCAGAAAGTTTCTTCTGGGTGGCGACTTCTTGAATTGAATGTTTCTCGTGATTCTCCTGCTGACTCTCTAAAGAGTCTTCACATTCACTGGAACCTTCCTTTGGAAATCTTTCTATTAACACTCCAGGGGCTGATTCCTCTGCAGCAAAGTCCTTCTCTGGAGTTAGTTCCTTGCTTTCTGGTACCGTCTCCCAGTCTGAAAGAAGCAAAATTATACAGGCATCATTTCCTATTCTGAGAAAAATACCTGCTATGGTCAAAAAATAATAAAACCAACAAACAATGCTTTCAGGAAACAAATGAACTTCGAAGCTCTAAAAGAAGCCTTCTGATCTTGAGGACAGGAGGAACAGGTGGCTGGGAAAGAAGAGGAGAGGTAGGGGATGGGAGGAAGAGAAGGAGCAGCAAAAGAGCAGGGTGTGGAGAGGAGGTCAAAGCCCCTGTGCTCAGATTGGCCCCTGACCTGTCGGGTTACGTGCCCCAAGGTCCTGGGCTTCCAAGTAAGAGTAAAATCTTCACTGTTGAAAATGTTTAAAGCCTTCCAGGCTTAGGTGGTGCTACTGTTTAGATATGGTGTGAGGGTCCCCAAGGGTTCACATGCTGGAAGCCTGGTTCCCAACACAGCAGTGTCGAGGTGGTGGAACGCCTAAGAGGTGGGCCTGATGGAAGGTAAACAGATCACAGGCACCTCCCTCAGAAGGGGATTAATGCTGGTATCAGGAATGCGCGTATAACTGCAGGTGCTGGTTGTTATAAAGTGAGGCCAGCGACATGCTTGGCACATGCTTTGATCCTTTCCATCTCTCTACCATGTTATAATGCAGCCAAAGGGGCCCTTGCCATGCTCTCAAATCTCTAGAACTATGATTTAAAAGAACCACATTTCTTTATAAAGTACCCAGCCTCTGGTACTTTGTTGTGGCAACACAATATGAACTAATATGGATGGTTTTTACTATCCATCCATGTTTCTAAATGAAATCAATCAATGCAACGCAATATTATTAACTTCATATTATACTCAGGGAAATGCTTGGTATTTTAAAGAATAAATGGAAGAAAAAGTTTAGACAAATGGACTTTAAGCTAAGCAAAGTGGAAAAATTTAAACCCCAAATATCTGTGGAGAACATATGTGGAGTGGAGGATGCTGAGGAACTTTCTTAGTGGTATTAAAGATTCAAGCTGGAGAATAGAGAAGGCAAATAATTTAGGCAGGTGGACTAACAAAGGCCTTGAAAATGGGTAGAGGAATACAGCACTGGCATGGTAAGTAACCCGCTTGGGAAATCTAGCAATGGTATGCTTCCTCAAGTACACAGGATAAAATTAAAGAAACTACAATTAGCTGATAGGCTATTGCAATGATCTAGTTTGAGAGAGATAATAGGGTCAAATCCATGACTCACCTGGACTGTCTGCTTTTGAGACTTCTGTCTCCAGCTCCTCCCTACACTCCAACTGAGAGATCACATCAGGCTTGGAAATTGGAAGTCCTGTTCACGGGAAAGGAAGGGGAGTCTGGTGAGGAGGCCAGCTTAGCTCCTTGTCTTAAGGGAAGACAGTACAAGAGGGGGAGGTCAGCTCTCACTTCCTCCCTGCAGTGCTCAGAAGGTCGAGAGACTGAGAAGGGGGTTAAGTTTGGAACAATCCAGTCACTTGTTTTTTATCTTAAGAGTAGTTTTCACTAGAACTCTGTCCTGACATCCTTGGTCAAGGAGCAGAGGAGGATGCTACAGGTCCAGATGATGAAGGTGCCCATTTCTAACTCTGGGAGAGTTAGAACTATATCCTGAAACAAAATGAAAACAAAAAACCAAAAAGACAGGCCTTATAGAAATTAAGACGCTCCTAGGAACCAAGGAAGCCCAAGCACTAGAGTTAAATGCAAAAGGGGCTGGGAAGCCCTCCTTACCCAGCAGGACCAGATTGCGATGCTTTTCAGGCCTATCTCCTGAAGGAGTGTTCAGCTGTCCCCACTGGTGGAGAGCCTCAGCCACATCCCTGATCATCAACGATTCCTGAAAAAACAAACACGTCGGTGCTTACCAGTGGGCCTCCTTCCAAAGGCTTCTGGGAAGGACCCAAACTGACAGCACAGGAGGAGGAGACAGGAAGGCTAGGAAGGCGAGAAAAACTATTCTGCCACACCTTCCAACACCAAGGTCCTCAGGCACGCATGCAGTCCACAGAGTCACTGTCTCCATCATATACCAGACCTCGTGTCACCTACAGGCAGGAAGGAGAGCACCTTCAGTGTGAACCTGAGGGACAGAGTTCTTAGTTCCCTATCATTGAGTTAAATTAAGAACTGGAGAATTCCTTACTACTAGGGTAAGGGAAGAAAATGTAATTATGAATTAAATATTTTATTTATAGTATGGCTTTTTAAATACAAGAAGTTCACAAAGTATAACTATTTTCTCTCTAGTTTTTAGAATAAACTCAGTCCAATATATTAAAAATTAAGATGTTTGTTTCATTGCCACAAATATGGATGCATTCAAGCTCAAATTATTATGGAAGTCCCCATGGTGGTCTTGTCATTGCCCACAAGGGCCTGATGGCCCGGCCCCTTGCTCTCTAGCTCCTCATGCTCTTCTAACGCTCTCTGTGCTCCAGCTGAACGCCACCTTTCAGCTTTCTAAAATGTGTGCCAGTCCCTATTAACCCACCCTGATGCTTCCTGTTCTGAATGTTCTCTCCTCTCTGCCATCTTTTCAGCTACTTGAATCCCAACATTTCAGATCTCAGCTCAGGGTCACCTCATCAAGGAAGCCTTCCTCCTCTCTGGCTATAGCACCATGCTCCTTCCTTTCTTTTGGGTACACGTGCTGAAGGGACTTTGTGATTAACGTCTGTCTGGCCCACTAGATGTAAGCTCCACAGAGCAGAGGCTAGGTCTGGTTTTGCTTATCAAAACAGCCCTAGGACCTGTCACAGAGCAGGAACTCCAAAAACATTTGTTGAAGAGTTGAATGAAGGGAGGAACAAATGAATAAGAATTAGCAGAAACAAGTTTAAAAAGGGTACTCTATAAAAATGTGCATAGGAACAAAGGAGGGGAGGGAACAGAAGTATATCTAACACTGAAAACGCTGCAGTAATGTTTACCCTAATCTTTATCTAGATGACAGGCACCAAGTTTAGTGTGTCTACTAAAGTGAGGGAAGAGGGAGCAAGATAGGTAATATGCTTCTTTGAATCTGTTTATTGCTAATAAGACGAATGCCTAATCATTTTTCTAATCTAGAAAGGGAACTTCTATACAACTACACACACTAACCTGAGATACACTATAAGACAGACCAGCCCCTGAGTTGCTAGCAAAATAAGTCTTTCCCTGCTTTGAATTACCACTTTTGCCACAGGCCCCAGAACATAAATTGCCATGCACCTTTCACAATGGATACACAGTCTGAGAAATGCGTAGTGAGGCAATCCCACACTGGCGCAAACATCATAGAGTGTAATTAAAGAACACTAAGACAACTGTGCCAACACTGGGGGACACAATCCTACAGGGCAGGCCTCGATATGTGGCCCATTGCTGACTGAAACATCCTATGTGGTGTATGACTGCACCTGAACAGTTATTTCTGTTTATATTCAGCATTCTAATGTGTATGATATAGCTCTCTCTCCAAAAACAACTGATAAAGCAATGAACAAAATGAAATAAAGTTAAAAGAATTACCTACTTTGAAGACCACTTGGCTAAAATAGACTCTTATTGTGACACTTGAAGTATGAAGCACTACACTTTTTAAGGGAATATTACTCAGAAGTGATCAATACGAACAATATAATTTGTAGTTTTCTTCCTTCACAAACAATGCCAATGCTAACCTAGCTCCCCAAGAAAACATCCTCAAGCAAACTCCTTTAAGAGCATGCGCTGGGGCTCACAGGCAGCCCAACCAGACACTGCCTAGCAGATACTGCTGACCTCCTCACCCCTATTCCTTCTGAAAGTGATCTACAAACTCAAGAGATCAAAATCCATACTGGCATTTTCTCCCACCATTGTGCATGGATCACGACCACCTGGATGCCCTGAGGCCAGACTTGATAGAGATGCCTTGTCCCAGGTTCTGTACTGAAGGGGCTGCAGATCTCCTAGTATCCTAGCCAGATCCTACAGAGGCACCTTCGCTCATTGTCTCTCTTCAGTTATTACGTTTCATCTTTCTGTGTATGTTGGGCGGGGGTGTGGATTTACTAGGGATTAAACTCAGGAGTGCTCTACCATTGAACTACTCCCCAAAGTCTTTTTTATTTTTTATTTTGAGACACTATCTCACTAAGTTGCCCAGGCTGGCCTGGAACTTGGGATTCTCCTGCCTCAGTCTCCCAAGTCTCGCCTGATTGCAGGCGAGGACCACTGCACCTGGCTGGGCTGGGCTCATCTTGCTTTGCCTCTAAAAACCTCCATGGGCTTATCTGCCTTTGGAATCAAACTCAGCAGAGATCTTCTTGTGATCTGGCTATAATGCATCCATATTTCCTTCACCCCCAACAGTGACAACCCTTGATGACCTCCAACTCTCTCATCACTTGATGTGTGGGTTTGTTTTGCCAAAGACATTTTTTTTCTTAGAATATTCCTGTATTATTCTGCTCTTCAACTATCCACACTCTCTTGCTTTCTAAAGTGTAGCTTTTATTCCAAACCTTCTCCAAATACTGTAGATAATGGGAAAGTTCCAGGGCCAAGTTTGACTTGCAGCAGTCATTTCTACATTTAGTGTGTGTGTGTGTGTGTGTGTGTGTGTGTGTGTACAACTGCATGGAGTACTGCATACATGACATACGTTAAGGGCGTTTGAGTGGCAAACCACTCCCCAGTGCTAGGCATGTAAGTGGCAAACCGCTTACGCCGTAGGCACAGCCCTGGGTGTGAGACCTTGTGTTGTAGTCCCTGCACTTGCTCCATGGTCCACCCCGAGACTGGTAGCTGCAGGGACAGTTGGTCAGCAATTTCATTGGTGGCTGCTTGTAATCTGCTTAGCTGCTGCCTGAGTATATAGACATAGTAACTGCACAATAAAATCAGACCTGCTTCCTGCTTGGTCTCTGGAGGTCTTGATGAGTGACTCCGCAGCCACACTCTCCTGTACCCTGTTCTGTGGACTTCCTCACTGGACAAGAGAGAGCCCACGTGTGTGTGTGTGTGTGTGTGTGTGTGTGTGTGTGTGTATTTTTTCCCTTCACACTGTTTATTTTACTTATTTATGTCTTACTCCTTAGGAAACTCCACAAGGCAGGGCAAGTATGTGTTATTACCTTATATCTCACTGCAAGGCCAATTACACTACTGAGTGGCTAGCAGATGCCAACAAGCCCTTAGAGGAGAAGAAGCAGTACTGGGAAGGAAAATTTTGTGCAGGTCAGGAGCATTCCCCGTGAAGTTCATCACTCGTCCGTTCCAGGAGGAATTCAGAGGTCTAGGATTCAAGGTGGAGCAATTTCTTAACAATGGAAAATATAACCATGTTAAGAACAAAGGAAAAAAGAAGAAACCTAAGCTTACCTGCGACCCAGAAGTCAGCAGTATATCAGTTACTCCATTTTCTTTTGGCTTTGCAGTACTGGGAAGGTTTGAGTCCTCAGAAAATGACCCTACAAGTGGAGAGAGAAGTCATGGCAATTATTCTGGCCTTGCAGTGAAGTAGCAGAAAGTGCCATGCAGCAGCTAATTCACTAAGAGTCGACACCGGGAACCAAAGGAGATCCCACAACACCCTGGACACAAACAACAGGGCCACTGCTGCCTCAAGATCCTACTGCCTTCTCTAATCTTAAGCCCCAGTAAACGCACCTGTGAGGAAGTGGACACTAAATACATATTTCTCTCTCTCATCTCTTGGGTTGTTAAAATAACACTCTCGGTCCTTGTACTGTTAATCCCTGCCTCAATCAGTGACAAGTCTCTGTTGTGTTCCAGGCTCAATGGATGAAGACTAAACTAATTCTTTTTGAACACTAGCTTTTCGGATACACTCCTGGCTGTCTTGGAAAAGCAATGGAACTCGAGGAAAAACAACAACAGAACAGGATTCCAGACTATCCGACAGCCTCGCTTTCCCTGTCTGTCAAGAGTCCGTCTCCTTTCTACTGCCTTGTAGGGCTGCTGCGAGAACAAAAGAAAGTCAAGACACACGGTGCAGTCGGATCTGCAGACCTGGGGCAGGGAGACACCCTACACACCCGCAGGCCACCGAGGGAACCGGTCTCCCTGCTCCGCGTCGCGAGGCCAGCGGGTGGGCAGCGGCGCTCCGGGGAGGACGTGATGCTTCCCCGTGCTCCCGCCTGCCCCAGCCGGAGGGCAGTCCTTCTCCGGTCCCTTGTCCCCAACGGGCACCGCGCCCGCATCGCTGATTCTCACCTCTGCCCTCCGGCTCCATGGCGACAGCCTCCCGCGGCCCACGTCGGGGGCAGGGTCGGGGGTCCGCCGCCCCCGCTCCGTGCCTCCCTCCGCCCTCCTTCCGGGCACGCGGACTCAGAAGGACCCGCTCTCAGCCCTCCTCCAGCCTGGGTCGGGCCTCTAGCCCGACACGGAGGAAGCCGGGATCCGGCAGGTAAAAGCAGCCCGGCCAAGTGGCGCCGGCCGACAGCGAGGCGGAACTACAACTCCCAGCATGCTCCGCGGGCGCCGTGGCGTCGCGCTTCCCAGAGGGCCCCGCGCCTGCGGTCGCGCCCGGCGCCTCGCCCCTCGCAGCGTAGGAGCGCTCCCCAGGGGCTGTGGGTGGGATGCTGCGCGCGACAGGCCCCGTCTCGTGTGGGACGTTGACAGCGAGCAGCTGTGGCTTGCAAGCACGGTCTTCTCATCCCCGCAGACTTCCCGTCTCATGGCTGTGAGCCCTCCGAGGGGAAATGCCCGGAGGCTGCATTAATTGGGACCGTTGTGTTGCAACAGAGATTGCTTCAGTTTACTTCCAGTAACCGGCGATGCTGGGTCCACGCTGCCCTGCTTCATGAGGAGAAATGGAATATCAGTCCTGGAAAAGCCCGGAAAGAGTTCCCAAGAACCGCCAGTAACTGGGACCGCTGACCTCAGGGAGACCAGCCCGAAAATACGAGCTTCTAGACCCCCTCGAGCTCCCGGAGTCAGCGGATCTTCAGCTACTGCGTGCTCTCTCTTATCATCCCGTCATTAAGTGGCCGGCTTGCTATCCAGATCATAGTCCTAAGGAGGAAAATCCAGTTTGCTTAGCTGATCTCTGTGTACAAGCACTGTGTTCAACGGTCCTTTCTCTAATAGAGTGCCATAACTTTTAGCTAGACTAAGCGTCCTCAGGGTAAATATTCCTGCCTTTTGCTGGGGACAGAGAGGAAAATTGTTTCTTAAGGAGATGAGTTTTTCTCCATGCTGGCTGGAAATGTCCTCGTGGACAGTGTGGACAAGGTTAACACCCTAGGAAAGGCACACCAACGAGATAGAAGGAATGAGCCCCAGACAGTTTGTTCAAATAGAACTTGAAAGAGATATAAAATATTTTGTATAAGCCACTGCTATTTAGGGTTTCTCCTACAGGGACACACTTATCTCCTAATTGATCTGTGGATTTAGTGTAGTCTAGTCAACTAAAGGCAGAGGAAGAAGGAGCCTGTGTGACCTCTGTCAGCTCAAACAGCAGTGGGAGAGAGTCTCTCCCTTTCCATCAGCAGGAGATAAGGGATGGGCTGTTTCCTTCAGAAAGGAACATATATTTGAAGGGCACCCCCAGCTGACCTGTCTAAAACACCAGGGAATGCCTTTTTTCTTGTTAAATATCTTCACATAAATTCTTTTTTTTTTTTTGTTACTACACCAGTCCTCAGTCATCTCATTTTACTTATGAACAACAATGAGAAAAGTTGACGACTATCTTGCTCCTGGAAACACTCTCTGGTTTTCTTCCTCCCTGACTAGTCACTCCTCAGTCTTTTTAGTTATGTCCTCCACTTCTGCCCAGTCTCTAAACCAGTGGTTTTCAAACTGCCATAATCAGAATTACTTGGAGTCTTAAAGCAGTGCTGGGTACCACCTTCATTCAGCTGGTCTGGTGTGCCGCCTGAGAATTTGCATCTTCATCAAGTTCCTATGTAAAGCTGAAGCTGCACATCTGGGAATCAACTAAATGTCCAAATGCCCCAGAGCTCAAACTTTGGGTCTTTTCTTTTTCTGTCAACATTTAAGTGATCTTTTTCAGCCTAGATGCTCTAAATGCCATTCAGTTGTGGTCAACTCTCAATTTATATCTCTAGCCTGGGTTTCTTCCTTGAACTTGAGCTATCTCCTCAGCTTTCTTTAGTTGATGTTTAATAAATGTCTAACATGGCATATTCAAAACTGAACTTCTCTGTCTCTCCCATTGCCATACCTCTTCCACTGCAGTTTACCCACCTCAGTAAATGGCAACTCCATCCTTACAGTTGCTCAGTTCAAACTGAGCCATTGTCTTTCTCTTTATCTCACACTCTACTTTCAGTTCTTCAGCAGACCCTTCTGGCTATATTCTTAAAATATATGCAGAACCTGATCACATTTCAGAGTGCATTACTACCACCCTGATCCAAGTCTACATCATCTTTTGCCAGAATCACTGCAAACAGCTCCTAACTACTCCCACTTGTACTCTAGCCCTAAGCATTCTATTCTCAGCACCGTGGCTCCTCCATCTCAGGGTAAAAGCCAAAGTCCTTACAATGGCCCACATCCCTTCAATCTGAACCATTTACCCCCCACTAGTTCTTTGAACTTATCTTCTATGATTCCCCCTCACTTGTTCTGCTACAGAAAAACTGTACTCTTTTTTACCCTTCATTCAAGTGAAGAATGCTTTCACTGGGCAGCCTCTGTGTTAGTTCCATCTGGGTCTCCTTCCCTCTCGTGGCTACACGCCTTGCTGTTTCACCTCCAAGCCTTTGTTTACCTCTGAAGCCTGCCCTGTCAACACTTCTTTTTCCCACAGTATTTTGTTTTTTCTAATATATACTTGTTTATTTTGTTTATTAGGTGATCCTGAAACTGGAGTTCTCTACTTCTCCTGGCACATGGGGTCTGTTTACGCCGCAGGTCTCTGCAGCTGAGAAACATGTTGCCGCTCTGAATGGCAGGCTACATCCTCCAGTGTTGCAGCAGACCCCAGCAGCTCACCACCAGTTTCCTCTTTTGGCGTTCTTGTCTCATGAATTCAAAGAATGAAATCCACAAGGGTGAGTGTAAACGTAGGATTTATTCAAGTGGGCAATGGGGACCTGACAGGGGTTGCTGTCTGAGTGTGCTGATCTAGGGTTTATATTAGCACTTGAGTGAATGCTGTTGGTCCACACTTACGCTAATCAGAGTTTGGAAAAGTATTAATGCGCCCAGTAAGCCCTGCAATCCCATTTGGGACTGCCCTAATCCAATTTTTCTGCCATTCCAGGAGGGAAGTGAGATCCTGAGATCCTGGACCTCAAGGTTTGGGCTGCAGCACTGTGTGAGTTCCTGCAGTAGCACTGTGTGGGACAGGCTTCTGCAGCAGATGACCACACCCAGCCCTGGGTCAGGCTACTGGGGCAGGACAGGTCAGGGCACCTGGCTTGCCTCCACATGGTGGGCTCTGCAGGACTGTGGCCCCAAGCTTGCCACCTGTGCTCTAGTCTGCCTGGGTCACCATTCCACAGTTCTGGGACAAGGGCTTGGCTTCAGCCCTAACATACAAACATTAGAGATTAAGCTCCATAGATCAAGGAGTATCTTCAGAATATTCACTGGTATGTAGATGATCAGTAACTGAGAGTATACCCTTCTATGTCGTGTGTAGAGAAGGCAGAAGTGCCTGAAGCTAATATGGTCCATGTTGGTTTTCTTGGCTTTCATTTATGTTCTTTTGGAAAAATTTGGACTTCCCTCATAACCCTATTTTTGTTTATATAGGTTCTACTTTAGAATAATGTGATCCTGAGCAATAGCAGTCCCCCAAGCACAAAAACTGGTGTCACCTGGCAGTAGAGTATAGTTGGAAGAACACTTTGGAATAAAAAGCCACTGGTATCCAGTGAGTTCCCCTTGCCTGTTGCAGGTGGATTGTCTTTGAGTTCTTCTAAATTTATTGAAGGCCTCCTTTTTGGTCTAGTGTCTCTTTGAATTTGCCACAACATCCTATCAGAAAAGAATTCTTTCCTTCCTCAAGAAGCTATAAAAAGTTATAAGTGGTCACTTATGTTTTTTTAATTTTATTTTATTTATTCCAATTTGTTAAATATGACAACAGAATGCGATTCAATTCACATTACACATATAGAGCACAATTCTTCATGTCTCGGCTTGTACACAAAGTAGAGTCACATCATTTGTGTCTTCATACATGTACTTAGGGTAACGATGTTCATCTGATTGGTCATTTACTTTTATATGAAAGTTGATATTAAGAGAAAGGAATGAGGAATCTGTTAACATGGAAGAAGGCAAAACCAAAAACACAAAGGATGGATTTCTGTGGCAAGGAGGTGAAGGTTTAAGAGAGAGGTGCTAAAGGTCCCAGGCCTTGAGGAGAAAGTCAGACTTGTGGCAGAAAGTTGGGCTTGGAACAAATCACACAGGGAGTTAACAAGGCCCGTATCCTGGGCCTAGTCCCGTTACCCTGGGCTGCCAAGCCCCTGCTCTACCTCAGCGGCCAGAGCTTTCTCAGCCATTGACTGCACCAACTGTGGCTGCACAGCTACCGGCACAGGGGTGCGGGGCCCTCCCTCTTGCCACAGGCCACAGCTGCAGAGCTCAGGTTTCTGGCTCCTCCTCACATCAATTCCAGGCTTGTCAAAGTGCCACCCGGTGGGCTATGGGCCCTGGCTTCCTTAGGAGTGGCTGAATGATGCAACCTGAAGACAGAGGGAGCTGATCAGATAAATTCCTTCTGTTCACCTTCACCCACCAATTCCTCCACATGTGGTTTCTGCAGTATTTGGAGAATTCTTGCGGAACCAAGTGGATGCACTTTCTGACTCATCTCGCTCCTTAGCATGTGAAGTAGAGGCCAATGGGAACAGATCACTTGCTTTTCTTCCCTTTCTTCCTGCTTCACTTCCTTTTTCTCACTCTTGCTGCCTTGAGTATGTCCCTCATGAAGGAGGTACAGTTCTTGCCTCAGGCTTTGTTTCCTAGGGAATCTAGGCAAAGACTGGGATCCTGGCCATCTATGACCCTTGGTCCCTCTAGTTGCAGCAGTGTTTCAAGGAAGAACTATGGTCATGAGCAGGGATTCACAGTGAAGCCTGGAGCAGTGGTTAGGACCAGGGGATGAAGGAGGGGACAGGCCTGGATCAGGTAAGAAGACTCTGAAGACAAGCCACTGGGAGAGACAGAGGTTCTCTGGACCTAGCACCTGGAGTTTCAAGGAAGCAATTGCCTAAGGGACCTAAGAGTCTGGGGCCAAATTCTTAAAAAAAAAATCTAATACAGAGCAGCAGGAATTTAGTTGTAAAGTTTCCTACCATTCATCAGAATGCTAATGGCAGAGAAGCCATTGCAAATAGAGTCCAGAAAAGAGCCCGGAGAGCTGTTGAGGTGGCTGCCAACCTCACAAGAACAGCCATGGTGGATTTCTGGAATCTCATAGATGCCCATCTGAAACGTTACCTAGTATTTGGAAACAGCAACCGTGAAGACTGAAGAAGGCAAAGGTATCTGAGATGTGGAGGTCTACCTCGGCCATTTCTATCCAGCCAGGTGACATAGTTGTCTATAGCAACTTTGCTCAGACATGGGACATTCAGGGTCCGTTCAGCCTGACTCTGGCTTGCCAGTTTACACGTGGTATTTTCACTCACAAGAGCTAAAAGAATCTTATGATTTTATAAAATTCATAAAATTACTTATTCAACTGAGGGGCATCTTACTTCAACTTAGGCTTCTGTCAAATAGACGTACTGATAAGGCTTTTCAAGGGAGTTATGGAAAACTGCTGGGTCCTCTCAGGGTAGCTGTTGAAGGATTTGCAAAGAATTATGCTACCCTATGGGTTCGGGGATGATCCACACCTCCTTCTCTTCTGTCACCATCAACCTGTTAATTAGCTAAAACCCAGAGCTTCTGAGGTCAGGGCAGTCTTACCATGAGGTACTGCTCACCTTTGCTCTGAGGCCCCTTTTCTGCTGGATCTAGGTACTGCTTTTGAAAGTCCCAAGGAAATCTTCTTTGGCTGTGAATACAGAGGTTAGTTACACAAGATTTTATTCTCTCACATCCAAGTCCAGAAGTAGGAAGTCAGGGCTTGTGTGAAAACTCCATAAAATTACCAGGGAATCGGATTCTTTTATTTATTTATTTATTTATTTTTCCTCTGACAGTCCAAAGGCATGGCTTATATCCTTAGCATCACAAGAAAAGCTGCTGGTATTCCAGCCATTAACTCCACATACAAAGTGGAAAGAGAAGAGCCAGTCCAAAAAGTAGTTTCCTAGCTCTCACTGTTGTTAAAGTTCCTGTCCGAAAGCCCCATCCAACAAATTCCAGTTATATCAGGATAACATTGGTCCTATATTTGATATATCATTTCTTTGGCCTGATTAGCTAGACCTGACTGTAAGAGATGCCAAGAAATATAGTTGGGCACTCTACTAAACTAAATGCAGAACAGAATCAGAGTCCCTATTGTTAAAGAAGAGGTGAGGAATTATTCTGTTTAGACAAATAACAGCCTCAGTCACAGTAAATGTTACTCAATGCTCAATGTGAACATTCTGGCTACTGCATGTTGCTTATGAGGGCCTACAGAGTGGCTCAATAAGCTAGACTGCTGACACTGGGGTATTTGGCTTCACCTCTTTTGCAAACTTTGCATAGATTTCCTACATATGCAGGATGGAAAGGAGTCCATGCCCTTACATGGAGTCAGACCCATGATAGTCATGGAACTTTTTTGTGGTCTCTGCTACTGAGATTCACCATTATTCCATTTGTCCTGCCTAACATTCCAGGTTCTTGCTCATCAACAGGATGAAAGAAGAGGTCCATGTTAGTTGTCTAACCTTCATCCATAGGAATGCCAACCTGGTCCCCCAAATTAAAATGATTGTAATTTTTAAAAACACCTAAACATTAAGACCCCATCCTCCTCCTCAGTCTGGTGCTCATGCCCTCTGAGCTACTCTCTGGAATTATTGCTTCATTGCTCATCAGGAATTCTGAAAGGTACAGCTGCAAAGAAGCCAATCTTTGCCTCTATGGTGACAGTGTCTACAGGACAGTCTGAATGTTGGTTTCATAGACACTGACTTGAGGGCAAGAAGGAGGACACCATGTCTAACAGAACTTTATGGCCTGGCTTATAGTCATCCTCATGTCTTTTGCTTTGGTACTTGAAGGGTTCCAGTGTGGCTCAGTGGTAAAGCACTTGCACAGCATACTCAAGGCCCTAGGTTCATCACCAGCACTACAGAAAACAAAACAAAACAAAAAGTATGACTACTCATGAGTGAACTATGTTGAGAGCTACCTTCAGTATGGTCGTATTCTCTGAGATTAGACAGTGCCCCATTTCTGACTATGACCAATGTCTTCAGTCTAGAACTGCAGTTGGATGCTATAGTTGGACTTTGAACTCTCTGGTATGTATATTTTCAAAATAATTTTTTAGTTGTAGATGGACACAATACCTTTATTTTATTTATTTATTTTTATGTGGTGCTGAGGATCATACCCAGAGCCTCACACATATTAGGCAATCGCTCTGCCATTGAGCTATAGCCTTCAGTCCTGGTATGGATGTTTCCCCCCTTCAACAGCTACAGGTGAGTAGATGATGAGAAAACAAAGAAGGTATATCAGGGTGTTTGTGGAATGCAGAGCCAGACTAAGGAATCCTGGTCATCAGTGAGATTGAACAAAGGTAAAAGCAAGAAGCACTACCCTAGAAATCAGAAAAACTGGGCAATGGGTTAGTCTACCAGAGATCTGGTATGGATACCAGAAGAACTATTCAGGGAACCCAAGTGAAAGTGTAAGTGAAGAATGAGAGCACACTGTGTAACCAAAACCAGAGCTCCAGGAGAGTGGATTAAGAGCTAATGGCACAACTATAGCAAAGGCATTGCAGTCTTAAGTCCACGGGCAAGGAGTGGATGCCAACTCAGCCACCTTCTCCTGTCCCAGATGGACCTACCACCCTACCACTGATGCCTATTTCCCAGGTAGCTTTGGACCCAGTTCTCCTGAAGGATATTTTAAGACCCTGTAGTCACTTGCACCTGCTACTTCATTCACCTTCCCCCTCGACTGGGATTTGCAATGATATGAGTCAGAAAGTCCCATTAGGCTTAAGCAAGTTGAGGTGGCATTTTCTGTCTCCTGCATGTGAAAGTGTCTGAATACAAATGCCAATAGCTGTTTTTTAAATTATTTTGGTGAAGTATAGATAACATAACACTCATTATTTTAACCACGTTAACTTCACAATCCAGTGAATTATGTGTATTCACTTTGTTGTATAAACATCACCACCACTCATCTCCAGAATGCTTGTCCTTTTGCCAAACTCAAACTCTGCCCATTAAACATTAATTTCCTATTCCTTTCTCTCCTGTTGCTGCAAACTCTCCCTTTCTCTCATGAATTTAACCCCAGAAGTTTCCATGTATAATAGTATGTATACTTATATATCTGTAATTTCCTTTTGGGACTGGTTTATTTCACATGGCATAACGTCTTTAAGGCTCATCTATGTTGTAAACGGTGTCAGAATTTCCTTCTGAGGCAGACACCCTTTGAAATCAAATGCAACTTCCTGATAACTGTTGATACTTCCTCATTCTGAGGACGGACATCAAGGAAATGAAGACTGACATATTCTCTGACTAAACACAGCCTAGCTAAATCTGTATTTCCTACCTCGTGTCCCACAGTGGCTCTACTTCTCTTATAAAAAGCTGTCCACACCCTTGAGTCCCTGAAGATGGACTTTGAGACAGAAGGGACTCTTCTGTCTTCCTGAAAACTGGCTTTGAATAAACCCACTTTCAAGCTGGAGTTGTGGCTCAGTGGTAGAGCACTTGCCTCCCAAGTGTGAGGCACTGGGTTTGATCCTAGCACCACATAAAAACAAATAAAGGCATTGAGTCCATATACAACTAAAAAAATATTTAAAAAAGAATAAACCCATTTCCTTACCAACCTGTTTCCCTAGGTTTTGTGGAGTGGGACAAGAGGTAAAGTCTCTTGACCCCCAGTTTCCATCCTTTTGAAGGCAGGATATTATGTGATTGTAGGTGTGTGCCACATTTAGTTTACTCATCCATCTATCAATGGCTTCTTGGGTTGCTCTCACCTTTTGATTATTGTGAATAATGCTGCTTTGAAAGTGGATGTACATGTGTCTGTTCAGTGCCCTGCTTTCAATGATTTTTGATAAATACCAAGAAGTAGAATTGCTAGATCCTATGGTAAGTCTCTTTAATATCAAGAAACTGATGGGCTATTTTCCATTTGCACTGCTCCATTTCACATTCCCACAACACTGTGCAAGGGTTCCAGTTTCTCCACATCCTCACCAACACCAGCTAGTTTGGTTTTGCTTTTTATGATAGCCATCATAAGGTATGTTTGGGGGATTCTCATTGTGGGGAGCTGCATTCCCTAATGATCAGTGATTGCCGCAGTCCGGCTGCAGCAAAATAGCCGGGGGGTGACGAACAACTTGTGCACGTAGATACAGCAGGAATGGGAGCCCTTTATTGTAGGACAACAGAGCTATTTATACATTTTGCACAGCTTATCTTAATTAGCATAAACTAGATACATCAGTCAACCAATAAGGAATCTCCACACTTAATGGCTCGCTTTTGTTACTTCTCAAACCACTCCCTCTGGCATTTTGCCAGGCACCATCCAGACTTGTTTACGAACTCTAACATTCCCCTTGGCAAAATACCAGGTGTTATTTTGACTTGTCTACAGACCTTAACAAGTGATGTGGAGCATGTGTTCATGTGCTTATTGGCTATTTGTGTATGTTCTTTGGAGACATGTCTATTCAAGCTTTAACTAATTTTTAAATTGAGGTTTTTTTTATAATTTAAATGTTTTATTATGAATTATAACACATTTATAAAAAAATGTAACTGCTGTGTGATTACCACAGGTAAACATATTGATCAGCAGCAGCTCCAGAAAACACATTTTATCTACTAATCCTATATCTCTCCCAACACCTGGCTCCTCACCAACCAGGTAAGACCTCTCTTGACTCTTTGCAAACCTTTTTTTGCTTTGATTTTTATGGGTTTATTAACTTGGTATGAATCCCTAAACATGTAATTTTCTCTTGCCTGATTTTGAACTTTCTGTAAATGGAACCATACAGTAAGTACTAATTCGCACCAGTTTCTTTTTCTTTTCTTCTTTTTTTTTTTTTTACTCGACATTATGATTTTGAGATTCATTCATATTACTGTGTCCACTTATTTTTACTGTTTGGATAGTATTGTCTTGTGTGACTTCACCTTATTTATCCACTCTATAGTTCACGGACATAGCGTTTGTTCTGTTTTTTGTATAATGTGAAAATACATTAAGTTGTATTTCCTTGATTACTAATAGGTTGGGCAGATCTGTTGACTATTTGGATTACCTTTTGTGAAGTGCATACCTATTCAAGGTTTTAGAGGGGGATCCTTTGTTCTGTGAGAGTTTTCACCCTTCTTAGTGATTTAGAGGCATTCTTTATGTAGTTACTACACTCAATTAAGTCACTTGCCTTTTCACTCTTAATGTCTTTTGATGAACAAAATAATACCTCCCCTCTTCTTCCTCCTCCTCCTTTGCCACTACCCCCATTATTTTGATTTCTGGTTTTTAACTTGAATTAGTTTCTCCTTTGATGACTATTCTTTTAATATAGTTCCTCCCTTTGCTAGTTTTTAGTTATTTTTCATTTATTCTTCATAAAATATTGTATTGAGTATGTTTTTCTAGTGCAGGCTTTCTAATTGTGAATTCTTTTAACTTTTGTTTATCATAAAAGGTTTTTATTTCATTGTTAATTCTGAAGCCTGGTTTTGCTGGGTATAGTATTCTCGGTTGGCATCCATTTTCTCTCAGAGCTTGGTATATATTATTCCAAGACCTTCTAGCTTGGAGGGCCTGGGCTGAGAATATATATTTTGTCTTCATTGCCTGAAACTGTGTTCCAAGTGGTCTAGTCTGATGGTGATGCTTTCCATTGATTTTTTAATTTGGTTTACTGATTCCTTCATTTTAAGGATTTCTGTGTGATGTTTTTTTCAGAATCTCTATCTCTTTATTGAGGTGATATTTCACTTCCTATATTTTCTCTCTGATTTCACTCCTTACGTCATCCTTTACCTTGCAGATCAGTTTATGTACATTCTAAACTCCTTCTCTGATATTGCTTCCACTGTGGATTTTGTTATTGAAGTGTCTTGATGGATTTTGTTATTGAAGTGTCTTGGTTTGTTTGGGGTGATTTTTCCCCTTGCTTTATTAGGTTTTTTTTTTTTTGTGTGTGTGTGTTTGCCTATTTAACTGTATGGATCTGAGGCAGTAGAGTTCTACTCTGTGAACTTTAAATAGTGTTCCTGAAGGTTTACAGTACCTCACTGTTTAGGGAGAGACAAATAATAACAACAACCAATGCAAACAATATAGAGCATTGAACCAAATAGTTTATACTATGGCATGTACAATGTTAATTGTGACAATAAACATAAATCACATGATCAATTATTGTCTACAAGTAAGTGTGCAAAAGGGTTTATGATTTCAAATGGTGGACAGAGAGAAAATAGAAGTGATATAGGATGTGATGATTATGAGAGAGGAGGAGAGAAGATAGAAGTAAAAAATTAAAGGAAGAGTGAAAGAACAGTAGAGATTTGCTGTTAGCAGAAGAAAAGAGAGAGAATCAAGGAAAACAGATAAGTGAGAGAATAAAGTAAAAATTTTAAAAAAAGAATACAAAACTGAAATATACTAATCAAACATCATAGTCCTTAAAATACTGAGCCATAAAAAATAGATGACTTCAAAATGCTAAAAATGAGAGAAAATATGAATACGTATAAATGTCCATGAACTATTAAGGTCACAAATAAATAGAGAAAAAAAAAAGATCTTGGTGAAAAGGTAAAGAAGTTAATTATTGGGGCTGGGGATGTGGCTCAAGCGGTAGTGCGCTCGCCTGGCATGCGTGCGGCCCGGGTTCGATCCTCAGCACCACATACCAACAAAGATGTTGTGTCCGCAGAGAACTAAAAAAAAAAATAAATAAATATTAAAAATTCTCTCTCTCTCTCACTCTCCTCTCTCACTCTCTCTTTTAAAAAAAAAAAGAAGTTAATTATTTCCGTCAGAATTCAAAAGATTCTCAACTTCCCTTCTGAGCCCGTGTTACAGGTGGGGTTATCTGGAGTGTGATGCTTGCTCTAGTGTCAGGGTGGGGCTGCTGTAGGGAGAGAGGTAATCCTGCAGGTGGAACTCCTGGCAATGGGGTTTAGGCTTAGGTATATTTCACATTCTTCACTGAACGCCTGTTGGTCTGGAGATTTTAAATCAGCACACCTCCAGGCCCAGCAATTGCTAGTCCACACTGGAAGATCTCCCCTAGGTTCCACTCCTGTGGTAGAGGAGCCAATTCTTAGTCCACTACATCACCTGTGAACTCCATGTTTCCTGGTCTCGGGGTCAGTCTCCAAACTCAATCTCTCCTTTCCCTACCCTTTTGAATTCCCAGCCAGTCACATCTGTCCCAGTTGGTCATGCAAGTAGCCAGATTGTAGGAGGAGGGGAAAAACCAGATGGGTTTCCATGACCAGTAGTCCCCTGTGCAAATCTTGCTCCACATTTGATATCCTCCTGGTCACTCAGGCACACTGCATGTTGTGCAGTGAGGGTTTGTCAGGCCTGGATTTCAGGCCAAACTCAAGTTAGCTGGGAATTGGCTCCCCAGCTGCCAGTTCCCATGCTGCAGCTGAGATGGGACTTCCTTCCTAAACAAGGATGTTGTGCAGCACACCTTTCAGTTTAGTCAGGTAGTGTCTTTGTTCTCTAAACTCCCCTTACCCGGACAGTTTTAGGCCTCCTAAAAATGAGGGTTCCTTTAATTTCCTTATCCCTGCACTTTGCCTGTGGAGAGACTGCTCTGGCAATGGAGATCTCTTCCTTATATTATTATATCCGACCTCCTCGGTCCCCAATCTGCTTCGAATGTTCAGTATTAAATTCCAGTAAAGTCCTCTGACTTTTAAGAATTGTTGTTGTTGTTGTTGACCCACCTTCCTGAGAATTGGCCAGTCTGCTTTCTGGTTTCATACCACTGAGGAGCCAAGAAGGTGACCCTTTCTGTTCCACCATCTTGAACCCCACCCCCGGGGTTATTTTGTGGTTGAGTTGTAAGATTTCCATATTTTGTGCATTAACTCCTTATGAGATACTTTGCAATTATTTTTACTTACTCTGAGGTTTGGTTTTCACTGTATAGATGGCGTCCTTTGATGAATGGAAGTTATAATTTTGACGTAATACAATTTATTTTTTTCTTGTTCCCGGGCTTTCAGTGCCGTATTGAAGAAATCATAGCCAAGTCCTACATCATGAAGCTTTTCCTGTTTTCTTCTAAGAGATTTACAGTTTTATCTCTTATATTTAGATCTTTCAACCATTTTGAGTTATTTTTTGCATACAATTATAAAGAAAGGGTCCAATGCCATTCTTTCACATGTGGATATCCAGTTTTCCCAACATAGTGTGTTGAAAAGACTGTCTTTTCCCCATTAAATGGTTTTGGAGCCTTTGTCAAAAATATTTGACCGTGTGTGGAGGCTTTATTTCTGGGCTCTCTATCACATTCCACTGGACTACACAGCTATTCCATTTTTTAGGGAAACCTTCCTTCAGTCTCATACCCTCCAAATACCTCTCCTTCCCATCAAAACTAGAAGACAGTGTACCATAGACATGTGCCATTTATACCTTCCACTCCCCACTCAGTTATTATTTTTTGTATTTTAGTTGTAGTTGGACACAATATCTTTGTTTTATTTATTTATTTTTATGTGGTGCTGAGGATCAAACCTTTCACCTCACCACATGCTAGGAGAGTGCTCTACTGCAGAGCCACAGTCTCAGTCCCTCCCCACTCAGTTCTTAACCAAATCCATTCCAACTCGACTTTGGCACCACCATCCAAGTCACTGATAAACCCCAGTGGACACTTCTTGGGCTTCGTCCTCTTTAGTCTCTTGGCATCTTCAAGGGCTTTTTGACTAGTTCCTCTTTTTTTTTATTAAGTCTTTTCTTTTGACTTCTGTGACAGAGCTGTCCCTTGGTGCTTCTCTTGCCTCCCTGTCTCCTACTCATTCTCCTTTGATGACTCTTCCTTATTTCTTGGTTCTTAACTCTTGGTGATTCTCATGGACCTGCCTAGACCTTTGTCTCTTCCTTATTACCCTTCTTCCCCAAGCTATTCCCCCACACTCACATGGCTTCAGACATCATCTAGGTAGACAGGTCATCTTTTCCTCTTTAGTCTGCTCACTCTGCATCTCCACATATCCTTTGACATTTCACAAGCATCTGGAGCTCAGTATATCCAGATAGATTTCCTTTATATCCTCACATAGGTCACCATGGTGCATGCACAGATCCTCTTGATCCAAATTTTACCCCATATGTGCTGAAGTAAGCAACTTGCACAGGTGTGGTCAGATGACACCTCATCTCAGCTGCACCCTAGAGTCCTTTCTGCTCTGGAGTTTCTCCAACTCTTCGGCAAAGAGTGGTGACAGAATCCTTGGAGTTTATGACAAGTGGGGAATGGAGCTGGCAGAAAAATGCCCCCCTCTTCCATATCAAAGCAGACAATTCTGAGGCTCATTAGCCTGACTCCCCAGGTCCCAGTGGGACAGAGGTTTGGTTTTCCACAGCCGTGGCCAACCTGGCAACCTTATATGTGAGCTTGTTTTTCTCTTCCTTCTCTTTTTGACTGACACTAACTTATTAATGTAATGAACAATATCAGTATTTTAATTATTTAAATCTTGATTTATCAGATTATAATATAATACAAAAATCTGAGTTTCAGAAGAGTAAAAACAATAAGGGAAGTTAAATTAACACTACTTCTAGTGGATGGACTGCAGGGGCATAGAGAATGTATTGGCTAGAAAAGTGACGGCCCATCCATCAAGAAGCAACTTATGAGGATCTTCCAAGGCAGAAACAAGGGGAAGCTCAGAAGCAGCTACAGTGGACCCCTTTGTTAGCTTTTATGTAATATTTATGGCAGTTTTACTTCCAGGATATGGATTTTTGACTAGCTAACCCAAGGAATCATAAATCATGGAAAAATCATCCTCCTGCCCTCCAATTCCATCATCATGGCCATAGTCATCCTCACTGATTTATATTTACAGTTCTGGGATGGGGGAGAGCTGTGGGCTTCCCTTGGGCACATTTAGCCAGCATTCTTCACTCTTCACAATTTGCCCATTCTGATAGAGCGTCTTACCTTCTCCCTGGAATCATCATAAATGGACCCTAATATCCTGCTTGGAAGAAGGTGAAACGATCACATGACATCTTTCTGGTTTTCACCAACTGGCAACTGTATGGACTTCCTCCTTCGCATCTCTGTTAGGGTGTCAGTTCATTAAGTATAATCTCTTTCCCCCTTGAGTCCTGATCCAGCTCAGAGAGAACAAAGGAATCAGGCATGTGACTGGTTGACAAGGAGGGATAGATGGTGACAACAGGCTTCCCAGGCCTAAACTCCACTGTCACTTGTCCTCCTGGAAGCAGAAGACTGCCTCAGGCAGGTGCACAGTGCTTGCCATGTTAACATCTCCAGTGGCCAAAATAACCCCTTCGCCTTTTACTTCTAAAATTTCCTGAGATTATCCAAAATGGTACTGTCCAATAGAGTAGCCACTTCCCATGTTAAGTTGGATGGAACCCACACTACCCATGTGTGGCTAATGAGCATTTGGAATGTGGCTAATCCAAATCTGAGACAGGCTATAAGTGTAAAATATTCACCAGATTTCAAGAACAGTTTAAAGGAAGAAAAGAAAGGTAAGATGATTTACGTTTTCTTTTTAAAAATAAGGGCTTTAAAAGGCTAAGATATTTTTATATTGATTTCATGTTGAAATTGCAATCAAAATTTTTGAAATTTCACTTGGAATTCAAATATCAAATGAAATAAAATATGAATAAGATTATCATCAACTTCACTTTGTAAAATGTGACAGTACTTTATTATCATTGGACAGCAGTGACCTAAAACCTGGGGAATAGAGCTCTGAGTCTCTGCACACTGAGCTGGGATTGAGTTCTGGAAGGTGAGGGTGCCTAATTTTCCAGGGCCAGGGCTGTGCCTTTAACTGCCCACATGGGTACCATGTGATCTTCATTCTCCTGCCATCAGTATGAGCTAGATATCTATCTCCCCAGAACATTCCCTCTCTTATAAACACATTTCATGCTAGAACTCTCCTGAGGCTCCCTTTTACCCTATTGCATTCCACTTTGACTTCTACCTGCTTACACAGGAATCTCATCTCACTAACACAAACCCCTTAGGACTTTGACATTCATTGCAGTCAATCTCATAGGCTTCCTTGGGAGTCCTTGTTCTGACTTCTTATTGAAAATGAACATACTGACATTGTCTGATGACTGGTACCTGGCAGCCTTCTTTAGCTCTGTGCTATTTAATATGTAAGACTTGCAGAGGGGGTTAACTTATTCTTAGATGCCTAGGTCTAGGTAGAATGAGAGGGTGGGTGCGTCTGGGCTACCAACCCTCTTGCCGATCATCCTGTCATCCTGAATCCCAGATCAATTTCTGCAGTTGGTGGTTCTACCAATTGCCTGTCCCAGGCTGCAGGTCCCAGTTTTTCTCCATCTACCATATTCTGCTACGGTTTGAATCTGGGTTGTCCCAAAAGCTCATGTATTAAACGCTTGGTCCTGTTGGAAGGTGCTGGAAATTGCAAGAGGTGGGGCCCAGTGGAAGGTCTTCAGGTCATTGGGGCATTCCTTCAAGGGGCACTGTGGGATCCCATCCTCCCTCTCTCTTATCCCAGACAGGAAGTGAGTGGTTTTGCTCCACCATGCCCTTCTGCCCTGGTGTGCTGACCTGCCACAGGCCCAAAGTGATGGGGCCAATTGATCATAGACTAAAGCCTCTAAAACCATGAGACAAAATAAACCTTTTCTAAGGTGTTAGCTCAGGCATTTGTTAAAGTGACAGAAAGCTGAGTGACACATCTCATCTCCAACTTCTCTAGCTTTGCCAACCCTTCAATTTGAGTTGTTGATGCATACAATGCCTCTGTTTCATTTGGTAAAGTACTCAATTCCCTCTTAAAATTTAGGAAAGGCCTGTTTGGTACCAGAGATAATTATTATTTTTTTTGGAAACCATTTTAAAATCTTAGGTTCAAACCCTACAAACATTACCCAATCTTTTCATTTTAAAATCTAAGAATGCTGACCTACTTCCAATTGATCAATTTCTGATTCCAAGATTTGATTCTACTAATTGCCAGTAGGTGAAGCTAAAATGTAAGGCCTCCAACACTGTAAGTCATACTGGGGAATATAAATGGAAAGGCAAAATGGCTCTTTCCTCAATTTTTAGCAACAGATGGAATACTAGTCCACATTTTAGAAAACACTGTGCACCTCACCTCATTTAAAATAGAACACAGGGAGCTGGGGATATAGCTTAGGGGGTAGACTACATGCACAAGGCCCTAGGTTCTAATCCCCAACACCAGATATACATTTAAAAAAAATTGGATAAAAATGGAACACAGGGCAAACTATTGAATTTATAGCCCCACTGTTTTAGTTATTACTGCACTCTAAAGTCATGAGAGGCCTCCTGATGCTCTCCACAGGCTGAATTCTTACACGGGCTATATAGAAAGAGGAGGTGGAGTAAGTCTACACCACATACACCTCAGCCCAGGTTCTGTTCCTGGTCTGTACTATGAATGGGGAAACATAGTACAGAACAAATTCTGAATTTGTTCCAATCTCATCTTGTTGATAGTGGCAGAACATCTTGGGAAGTACATGATTTCCAATGTGTTTTGAATAAGACAGTAAAAGAAAGACTCAGAACACTGAGACAGATGCCAAGTTTGTTAATTGTTCCTTTTATTTTCTGATTGACACTGTTAAATTGTATCAGCTATTATCCACATCTACAGATTCTGTGACACATTTTTCTTCAAGTTGTTTCAGAAGTCCACACATGAAGTCTTCCTTGCCACCTACCTGCTCTAAGGAGGATCAACATTAACTAGTGTGTTAGTAGGTTGGGAGGGGTATGTTTGGCAATTCAATTTCTTGAATCTTTCACTTCTGGGGAAAACCACCTTGCTCCCTGGGATTCATAGGATCTGAGTCCACAGCTTTTCAGAAACACATCCTTTCCCAGACTTCTCCCTAATAGGGAATACAGATACCCCAAATCCAGTGTGCCTAGTACCTGATCTTCAGTAAAACAGAAATAAAGGGCTGGGCCCAGGGAATAGAAGAGTTTTGGAGTAAGTATATGAAGTTTGGTGATGGGGACTGAATTAAGGCAGATCTTAAATGTTCAAAGAAGTTTCCATTAAATAGAGAGCTATTTTAGGTCATGGATAGGCAATTATGGGCAATTATGATAATGGTCCCTAGAGTTAGTCAAATACTAAGATTCCCATTTACATTCTGAGCTGCCAGGTGCTGGATGCTAGTGCTTAAAATACCTCCTAAGTTCTTCTAGCTTCTCTTCATGGTGACTTTGGAGGTTGAATATTCTAAATGATGAGGATGGGATGAGACCGACTGACCCACTTCAGATTGGATGTGACACAGATCTTTGTTCATTTAGGAGTTGTTTGTTACTGCAGCACAGCTTAGCATATCCCTCTTCAGTCATGTAGAGGGAAAAACTAGAATTAGGAAGTGCCTATTGTTGTCATGGGAGCCTGGGATGATAAAGGTATGGGCTGGACTGTGAAAACTGAGAAAAAGGATATGAATCCAAGTGGGGTTTTGAATGGAGAGAACTTGATATTTGTTCAGATAAATACTTACTGAGCTCCTATTATTCGCAAGGCACTGCATGAAATACATGTAAGTCACATTTCCAAGTGCTTACAAAATAATTGGGGATATAACACATGTACATAAATAATAAAACAAACCTTAGAGCATAATGGTAAAGAAAACAGACTCTGAAAGCAGACCTGGCCTCACCTTTCGGAGCCGTGTCACTTTGGGCATGTGATTTAATCTCCCTGAACTTCAGTGTGCTCATCTGTAAAATGCACACAGCAACAGCACCTGTTTCACAGAGCTGTGAGAGGATCCATCAATCCAGTCCTTGTAAAACTCTTAGCTGAGTGTTTGCCCCATAATAGGTGCTCAATAAGTGCTACCTACGAGTAGTAGTATTGAGAGATCTAAAATCTGGGGCAGAAGAGAACAAGGTCAGGGCCCAAAAAAGCTCTAAGAGAGGGACTAACAGCTATAAAAACTGCTCTGAAAGAACAGTGCTGCTCTGGTATAACTGTGCCTTCCTCCCCTGTTATAGCCTCTAGGTATTTAAAGTCTTTTTGTTTGTAGTGCTGAGATCAAATCCAAATCCATGGCTGGTCTTCTGCCTGCTAGGCAAGTGCTCTACCAATGAGCTACAGCATCATTTGAATCTGCAGCATCATTTCCTGATGTCTGCATCCCACATCAGTCCTATCCCACAGTAGACACAGAGTGCTACTCAAACACTGGGGGGACAGAGGCAGGGCAGAAGAACAGTATCTGGAGTGGGCAGAGTGAGCAAATGTGGGTTTGCGTGTGTCAGGGGAAGCCTATCTTGTATTTCTATGGTGCTCCTTCGCCAGACTCAAGCTTCCACCCAACTCAATCTATTCCCTGTTTTGCATAACGCCGCTGATGTTGAATAACTGAAGATTTTGAGCTGAAGACTTTCCCACACACGCTGCACTCAAAGGGCTTCTCCCCAGTGTGAACTCTCTGATGCCGCGTGAGCCGGCACCTCTGGCTAAAGGCTTTCCCACACTCACCGCATTCGTATGGCTTGTCTCCAGTGTGGATCTTCTGATGTTGTGTAAGGGAGGAACGGTCAAAGAAGGCTTTCCCACATTCACTGCACTGATAGCGTGGCTCCCCTGCATGAGCTTTTTGATGTCTGTTCAGGGATGAGACGCCGTAGAAGGCTTTTCCACACTCATTACATTCATAGGGCTTCCTGCCTGTGTGGATGAGCTGATGGCGAGTAAGAATGCTTTTCTGGCTAAAGGCCTTCCCACACTGACGACACTCATAAGGACTTTCTCCAGTATGAATTCTCTGGTGTCGAGTGAGGGACGAGCGGTCAAAGAACGCTTTCCCACACTCACTGCATTTGAAGGGCTTCTCTCCCGTGTGAATCCGCTGGTGCACGGTGAGGGACGAGCGGTCAAAGAAGGCCTTGCCACATGCACTGCACTCGAAGGGGCTCTCCCCGGTGTGAGACATCAGGTGTCTGCTGAGGCTGCTTCTGTGACTGAAGGCTTTCCCACACTCCTGACAGTCGTAGGGCTTCTCTCCAGTGTGAGTCCTCTGGTGGCGCACAAGTGAGGAGTGGTCGAAGAAGGTCTTCCCACAGTCTCTGCACTCATGGTCTCTCTCTCTAGTGAGGGCTTTCTTGGGTGGGGCTGACCCTTGCTGCAAGCTTGGATCCCGGGACAGCAGTTTCTTGCAAGGTTCTACTGTGGGTCTTTCCTTCTCCACTTCCAACCTACCAACCAGTGCTTGAACTTCAAGTTTAGGACACAGAGGACTTTGCTTGTCAATGCTTCCCCTCCGTGTTCCTTCTGGTTTCTTTTCTTCTGAAGCATCTTGAATCTTGGGCTTGGTCCCCCAGCCTGGAACAAAGAGAAGACACAGATGTGGTTTCTTCCCTGGGGTAGGAAATGTTCCAGGGGAAAGAAGAGGGACTCTGATGATGCTGAAAGTAACACACAGGCAAGCATTGCTTGCTCCCACAAAGAGTCTCATGCTTCAGGCCTGAGACTTGGGAATGAAGCATAATGTGGAGAAGCAGGCATTGAGAATATAGGAGAATGTCTACTGAGAGCACTGCTAGGATAACTAGGAGAGTAGCCAAGTGGAGAGGACGGGGATCAACAGGAATATCAGAGTGTGAATGGGCAAGGTGATAGAGTTGAGAAAACTGGTGACTGGTGAATACAAATGAATAATACTAAGGTGTAGAGGAGACTAGGGAGAGCAGACAGGTGGTACAAAATAAGCACTGCAGCAGAAGACCTGACCTTGGAGCAAAGATGATACCCAATGTTCCTCCCACCCACCTGAATGACAAACACAGAAAACAAAACTGCCCTGACCCATTCCTACTCAGTTACCTAGAGAGACATTCTCTGGACACTTTCTGTCTTCAGATCCATGAAGACCCTCTGTCCATGGCTCAATCCCTCTCTTCAACTGAAAAATCACATCAGGTTGAGGAACTGGAAGTCCTGCTCAAGGAGAAAGAAACAAGCCAGGTGGTTGTATGTGATGAGAACATGCAGCTGCTCCCAAGCTGGTTCCTGGCCTCCAGATGTTTCACAGAGACAATGCAAAAGGCCAGAAGGCAGAGCACAATGCAGAGGAATCTCTAAGGAGAGGTCAGGCCTGAGTCTCTAGAAAGGAGGGATTGGCAATCAACTTGAGTTCATGTGGAGTGAGTGGGAAGCTTCCTGCATGGGCACTGTAGGGTGAAGGTGCTTGGCTTGGGGAGGTGAGAATAAAGAAGGATCATCTTGGGTAGAAAAGCATAAGGAAGATGCTCGTTTTGTTTATTTATGTTTATTATTATGCTTTTTAAAAACAATTGTTAATTGTAGGAAAATCAGAGATAAGTACAAGTAAAAAGAAAAATCACCTTTTATACTTTGTATTCATATTTTCTTCCTATTCATTTTGATTCGGAAAGGTACCCATAGAGAAATAAAATACCCATAGATAAAATTGGACAATGGAATAATACTGATTTGTAAACTGGATTTTTTTCACTTAATAATGAAATTATTTCAATTAGCACTTTGATGGTTAAATGGTTTTAATTAGCCCTTTTAATGGTTATAATACTGCACTGTATGGCTTAATCTAACTTATCTGACGAATCACCTGCTAACAGACATTTCAGACCGTTTTAATGTTTTGTTACTAACACACAGTGGCACAATGAACACCTGCATGCTGATAACCAAATCCATAAGCCTATTATTTCCCTAGGATCAATTCCTGCCAGCAGACCTATCCATTTTTAGTTATATTAAAACAAACAAACAGATCCTCTCGTGAAAATAGGCTTGAGTTCCAGATTCCCTTGCACAGGAAGGCCCCATGGCAGGAAAGAGAGTGCTTTCTTACTGGTCCCAAGCACCCTTTACCTGGCGAGGTGCTGATTCTCTGCCGACAACATGGCCATGCCCCACCTCTGTGGCTCCTTGACTCTGACCTAAGGAATTCTACGCTCTCCACACTTTACCCTGCCACAGCCTGCGGCAGAGACTCAGCAGTACCTCCTGGACATCTTATTCTGTTGGGACACTGTATGGCCCGCTGAAGCTAATTGAGGGATGTGTATGCTTGCCTTTTTGACTGGCTTTATGTGAAATCTGCAAGGCCTTTACTGTCCTCTTGTATTTATTTAAGTCAGCTTCTAAGCTGTGTGCTTTTTCAGCATCTTATTCTTTTTTTTTTATTTGGATGGAGTCTTGCTATGTTGTCCAGGCTGGTCTTGAACTTCTGGCTCAAGTGATCCTTCTGCCTCAGCCTCTTGAGTAGCTAGGATGACAGACATGTGCCACTGTGTACAGTGTACACGGTACGTTTGTGAAACTGCTAAGAGGTTCTCGTTATCTACAGGGTCCCCACTTTACTTCTCATTAACACCTGACATCAGCAATAGCTTTTAATTGCCCCTGTCACACAAGTCTTTATAATTCCAGAGTGCCTCCCGTGGGCATATCTCTAAGACAATGCTCAAGGCAAATGCTCAAAATCAAACACATCTCTGGTGACCTACAGACACACAACCACTGTGTTCTCACTCTACATCCCCCTTTTTTAAAGGGAGACACTTCTTTTCCTCCCATTGGTTTTTGTGAGGGGGGAAATCTCCAATTAGCAAGATGGTCCTTTCCCTACCACTCAACTGTCCTCAAAACAGAGTTGAAGGTGTCCCCTGGCTGGCAAGCTGGGAGAAGACTCAGGCACATGTAACTCTTCTACACTCAGCCCTCTGGAGAGCCAGCTCCCTGCCCCCAGCTCCCTGTCCCCAGCTCCCTGCCCCACTCTACTCTGTCCCCTGGCCCTCCCTGTTTTGTGGGGGCAGGTTGCTGAGCAAGGGCCCTGTGGTTGACTAGCACATCTGTCCAGTGCTGGGCTCAGTGTGAAGCCCACTACTGCCATACACCTAAGCCACCTGGGAACAAAGCAGAATGTGGGGAAGCAGGTATTTTCAATGTCCACTGAGAGCACTGCCAGGATAACTAGGAGAGTGGGCCGAGTGGAGAGGACGGGGACCAACAGGAATATCAGAGTGCGAATGGGCAGGATGATAATCGAACCCATAAGCCTATTATTTCCCTAGGATCAATTCCTGTCAGCAGACCTATCCATCTTCCTCCAGCTCTTCCATCTTCCTCAAGTGACTCAGAGCGCAGGTGTGGGAGGCTCTGATTTCTCGGCTCCACACCAGCGTGGGCAGCTCCCCTTACCCAGCGAGACGATGCTCTCATAGTTCTCCAGCATCACGGCCTTGTAGAGGGCTCTCTGAACAGGGACCAGATGCCTCCACTCTTCGTCTGTGAAAATCACAGCCACGTCCTCGAACGTCACAGATCCCTGAAACACAATCACATACCCCCTTACTCATGAGCCTTCTTGTCACTTGGGCCAGACTGAAATGGCATAAAGGTGACAGCCCTGGAGGGTGTGGCAGGGCACCGGGCCATGGCTCTGACAAAGCAAGGCTCTGAAACATCTGGAAAAGGCACTCATGTAAAGAGTTCCCAGTTGCAATTCAGTCACCCAAGCCTGCATCTTTACCCTGGTTTTAGAAGCCTGGATGAGTGTCTGTAAGTCCTGGGACAGAGTGGGAATTCACAACTCTCCACCCTTGAAAGGGGAGCTGCATGTCTCCACCCAGTAAGACTCTCTTTGGGACCCTGGAGGCCTGGCTGAGGTGCCCTACAGCATGATCCACTGCACCCAGCACCCCCTGGAGCACTGGGGCCCACACTCAGTGAATGCGTGGATACACTCCTGGATGGGCAGGGTGGAGCCAGAACTGCTCCCAATCTTCCCCTTGGCCCTGCGCTGTCAGCTGCTAGACAGACCACTCAGAGCAAAAGCTGCAGGGGTTGGGTGCCTGGTGACGAGCAAGGGGGGCCAGGCTTGAGACAAGAGATGGACACCGAAAAACACCTCAGGTCAAAGGGAAGTCCTCCCTGTGGAGTGCCTGGTCCACCTGGTGGGGGCTGACCAAGAGTTCCAGGAGATAGACAAGTGGTGACATTCTGGAGACTCATTAGTGTACTCCAGAAACACAAAAGTCTCCCTCGAAGGAAGTAGCTCAGGAGTACAGCGCTTGTGTAAGCCTGGGCTCATCCCCAGCACTGGGAAAAGAAACATGAGGTCCTCCTTACCTGGCACGCGGCAGGTGGCGCTGCAGCAGCCATTCCCTCCTGTGTGCGCTCCCAGAAGCAAAGGGCAGAGTCCTGACAAGGCAGGGTGTGGGTGAGAAGGCAGCCATGAGAAAGGTCTGTCCTGATATGTCACCTCCTGACTCGCGGAGCAAGGACTCTCCATGTCCCCACCCCCTTCCCAACTTCCACAGAAGGGCAGCCAAGGTAGAGCTAGGCCAGGAGCAGCCCTGGCCAACCCCTGGGTGGAAGCCAGGCCCTGGGTGCTGTGAGTTACACTACATGCGGTGCTTGTTTTCACAAGTTCCTTGGGAAAGAGATTGGTACCCAGGAGTCAAGAGAGCGGTAAGGCTCGCAGTCAGAATGGCAAGAATCCCAGTAATAATAAACACTGGGGAGGAGGGGCACAAGAAGAACACTTCACTCTGTGGGGGACTGTTCATTAGCACAACCACTGGAAATCAGCATGGAGGTCCCTCAAAAGAACAGGCACAGATCCAGCTACCCCGCCATATGACCCAGGTGTACTGTTCCTTGGTATTTATCCTGAAAAATTAAAATTATCTTATTATAGAGATACATGCATGGCCAACAGCCAAATATGGAACCATCGGGGTGTCCATCAACAGATGAACAAAATATGGTATGTATATACACCATGGAGTTTTACTGAGCCATAAGAAAAATGAAATTACGTCATTTGCAGGAAAATGAATGAGACTAGAAACCATTAGGCCAAATTCAGAAAGTCAAGCGCCATATGTTCTCCCTCACACACAAAAGCTAAAGAGGAAAAAAGGTAAAGAAAAGTGGGGGGGCAGAGATCTAGTGAAAATCAAAAGGAGATCAGCAGAGGACCAAGAGATGGCAGGTGGGGAGGAAGAGGGAAGTGCTGGGGCAAGGGGTATATTGGTCAAATGACATTGTTATATTGTGTGCGTGTGCAAATATGTAACAACAAATCCCATCAATATGTATAACTATAATGCACCAATAAAAAAAAAGTGGAAGGAGAAAAATAAGCATTAAAGTTCAGAGGTTATTTATCCAATACTGCCCTGAGTGTTCACTGGACAAAAACCATAAACAAATCTGTAAGTGACTATGTGGAGGAAACACACCCAGCAAAACCTACGGCCTCCCCAAAGGAAAACACACTCCACTCCAGTTCCTGCTGAAGGAGCAGCCCTCATTGATCCACGTGACCCTGCATCTCATTCCTGGAGCCACAGTGACTGGGTGGGTGACACAAGTATCAAAACTAAGGAGTGATCCAGCCTGAAAAGATGACATCCTTGCACGGGAACGTGACCAGGGAGTGTCAAGACAGCAATGAGTTGAAGGAGTCTCAAGGTCCCCAAGTAGCCATGGAACCAGAGGAAGAAGAACCCAAGGGCAGTGGGAGGCACAAGCAGGGTAAAGTTCATGTCAGTGGGATGAGGAGCAGGGGGGAGGACAGCCTGACCCTCTGATGGAGACTGAACCAGGCCCTGAGAGTCCCTGGGAAGCGTTTCTGGGGTTGGTGGGTGAATAGGGAGACAGTAGGCCAGGGAAGATGGGGGAAGGTGGGCTTGTGGCTCACCAGTAGCTTTCCTGTAATTAAGGGAAAGGGTCACTGCTCCCTGTGAGTCATTCATTCATCCACTCAACCAGCAGTTATTTGGCACCAACTGTTTATAGCAAGTAAAACATGTGCAAGGAGCATTCCTTACCTCCAGGAGCCAAGAGGAAACAAAAAGGCATTTCCCTGCAGGATAGGTAAGTGCTGTAAAACTGTGAAGGCCCCACAGGGCTCCCTTGACCAGCCCCACGAGGGGGTGGGGACACTGCAGCTCTCCTGGTAGAACCAGAATTTATGCAGTTTTGAGGTGGGGAGGGAGCAGGAAAAAAACTCCAGTTATTGAACACTAAAGAGGCAGATCTTCACGTGGAAAGGATTAAGAACTGAAATCTGTTTGGAACAGCAAAAGTCTAGGCTGTGAGCAGGGCTAGGAAAAGATGGAGAAGCACAGGCCACCTACATCAAGGGCTTTGCACAACCCCTGCCCCACAGGCAGGGATCCTGGAGGGACTTTAGCCCGGGTGCACCATCGTCAGACCATGCTTCAGAAAGATCACTGACTTGTAGTGAAGACCTGAAACACACTGGCTCTCAGTATCTGTAGGTTGGTTCTAAGACCCCCATAAATACCAAAAATAAATCCCACCCCACTGCCAAAAGGGATGCTCAAGGGCTTCATGTAAAATTTGGGGTCGGGCCTGAGAATATAGCTTAGTGGTGGAGCACCTGCCTAGCATGCACACCTCAGCACTACACACAAACAGGGATTTTTAGGAAATATCAACTTTACCTGCATTTTAAAAAAATATTTATTTTTTAGTTGTAATTGGACACAATAACTTTATTTCCCTTATTTATTTTTATGTGGTGCTGAGGATCGAACCCAGGGTCTGGCACATGTGAGGTGAGCTCCCTATCCCTGAGCCACAACCCCAGCCTCTGCAATTTTTTTTTTTTTCTTAAAGAAAAAACTGAAGCCAGGTGCATGGCCCACGCCTGTAATCCCAGCAGCTTGGGGAGCTGAGACAGGAGGATCACGAGTTCAAAGCCAGCCTCAGCAAAAAGCAAGGCACTAAACAACTCCATGTAGACCTGTCTCTAAATAAAATACAAAAAATAGGGCTGGGGATGGGGCTCAGTGGTCGAGTGCCTCTGAGATGATCCCTGGCACCCCCAAAAATAAATAAAAGGAACTGAAGATGTAAGTCAGTGATAAACTGCCCCTAGGTTCAACCCCCGGGTACAAACAAAACAAAAAACAAAACTGAAGGAAAGAACGTACACAAAATATTAAGCGAAGAATGCACAATCTTGAGATTAGATATTTGTGCGTGCATGTATGTATAGAAAAAGGAAGAACACATTAAAATGGAAGTGGAATTTGAGAAGTGGAATTATGAGGGATTTTTATTTTACTTTAACAATTCTTCATATTTTCTGATTTTTTTAATTCACTTTGGTGTACAAGAAAACAACAGGAAGGAAGAGGGTTATGCAGCCGTGACAGCAGCCTGGGAGTGCTAGCCCTGGAAGGCTCCGCCCACAATGCTGGTCCCTGGCCAGCCTGGGGGAACTTTGATTTTGAAAGGGTCCCCAGGACAGTCGGCTCTGTCTAAACCATGTGTGCAAACGACCTGGTTTATGGTAGGTAACATCTGCTTTCCTGCTGAAGATCTAGAATTCTGGTGTGTGTTAGGCAGAGGGCGCTATGAGCAACCTTTGATAAAAACCTTGGACCCTGAGCTTCCAATGAGCTACTGCGTTTTTTTGTCAGGGAGGGATGTGCTTTGTGTCACCGCTCATGGGAGGAAGGGAATGCAAGCAAAGCCACACATGGATTCCTCCAGATGCTGCTGGTGTCCTTCCTTATGACTGGCTGTGTATCCATGCAGGGTTGCAGTCACAGTCTGAGCCACAAGTACAGCTACAGGCTGAGTCCCCAGTCCTTGTGAATCTGTGAATGTGGGGTGATCCTGTGGATACCACACTCTGATTAGCTGTGGCAGGATGGAATTAGAGGAGGCAAGAATGGCGGAGACCAGTGAGGAGACTGATAATTAAGGAAAAGTGATCAGCAGCTGAGCAAAAGCAGTGGCAGCAGAAATGGAGAGAAGGGACACCATTGTCAAGATACCAAGAACAATAGGTAATAGCCTGGAAGCAAGGTGATGCCTTCTGGGACACTGATCTGAGCAGCAGTGCAGAAAATGATGTTATTCGTGCAGGTGAGCAATAGGGAAGTAGGCTGAAGGGATGGCTATTGAGGACAGTTGGGAATCAATCCCACATCCTGAAATAACAAAACTCAGATGACTTTGGCTCCCCTTGGCCAAATTACAAATATTGGAATTGCTAAATGAAATAGCTCAGTATAGAAAAGTTAATATAAAGTGTACCAAAAGTGGACATAATACAAAGCCAATGCTTAAGTCTTCAGTTATATCAAAAGTACTTTCTATCAATTACAAAACTTTTCATAGAGAATAGATGTACCCTTGTGGTACACACTTATTTATTCATGTAAGCAGAAAGGAACCCAGGGGGCAAGGATAAGCCAAGTAATTCCAGAAACCGAAGCTGCTTGTCCCACACAGGGAGGACAGATCAGAACATGGGCCACTCAGAAGAGTGAGGCAGAGGAAGCTATACTCCTGTCCACGAGCCAATCCGACTCCAAACATGCCAAGTAATTGTGGAGACTTAATCCTCCCTCCCTGAGATGGGCCCTCCAGCTTGATGTCCAATTACCAGATATTCACAAGAAACCATGAAGTTTTAAAAACTGCCAAAACTCAAGACCAATATGTATAAATTACTGGTCTGTTAGCTTCTAACTCTAAAATGGCTCTATTATATTGTTGGATAAGTTTGGGGATTTTTCTGGTTTATTGGTCTATAATCTAAGCAGATATCCTTTTGGGAAAAATACTTCATTATGATATACAGTTAAAAGATGCAAGACAGACATGATTATTAATAATGTGTTAACACTGGCCACCTCAAGGGTGGACACTGGTTTGCAGAAACTGAAACCTATGTGACAAGCAAAATCTTAAAGAAAAAAAATCTAACTTAGAGTTTAGTGTAACAACAACAACAACAACAAAAATCTGAACCTAAGAGAGATTGGAGTTTGAATCTCCTTAGGAGGAGGCAGAGAGTGATATAAATGCAATTATAAACAAAGATATATCCTCAGATGATAATCAGAGCCTATAACTAAGACAGTTTTCTTTTCCTTTGTAGTCTGTTAAGAGTCTTCCATGTCCAGGAGGGTGTTCAGATATTGACTCTTGAGCCCTATGAAGACATCTGAATTAATATTTAGAAATATAGATGAATACAGTCATTAGGAGCCCAGGCTCTGGTGCCAGATTGCCTGAAATCAAAGTCCAGCTGTGCTTCATCCTACCTCTGTGACCTTAGAAAAGTTTCCTACCTTCTCTCAGCTTGTCAATCTGCAACAGTGGATTAATGATACAATGTGTGTAGCTATCTTGATGCTTAAGTAGGATGATACCTAAAAAGCATTGAGAATAATGTGCTAAGTAAATGTTAGCATTAGCTAAAAGTGATGTGACCATCTGGGAAGGCAGGAAAAAATTAAAATGGAAAATATTAATTACATTATGTTGTTGCTTTAGGTCTAAGTGTAAGTATATTAAGAATTTTGGAAGACAAGTTATTTGTATATGTTGTCCAAAGCACTAAAACTTTTTGTAACACATAAAACTACATCTGAAGTTATAGTTGGAGTTGCTCAATGCTTAAATGCTTAAAGACAATTTTCAAGATTTTATTAGACTGACTTTAATAAGGTGAGCATTGAACAAATCACAAATGGTGTCGAACATGAAATATCCCCAAGTATTAAAGTAGCAGGTCTTCCCAAAGTGCTCATCATGCCAGGTAGACTTCACTCCCCACAGCAGCAGTTGCTTAAGTAGGCTCCTGCTGAAAACTCAGGACTCCATAGCACACCAAGCTCATGTGGAGTCACTGTCAGCAAAAGGTCACCTCTACTGCTTTCTATTTTCCTATTCCTGGATTTTAGAGTATCAAATGTATCAAATTCAAATCCACACTCTATATCTTTAAGTGACCCTTGTGATTGCCTAAAAAGCTTTTAACACTCCCATCTTGTCCATGTACCTATTCCAAAACTGTCTTCTCTTCTACACACCTATTCCAAACCTCCACGGTTACCATTCGACATCAGCACAACTTTGTCTTCTACTACACTGAAGATGTGCAAGAGCGAATTTCCAGGGAGGCAGGACCATGTGGTAGAAAGCACTTGGAAGGCAGGTTTAGTAGTATTAACCATGAAGCCTTGGGCAAGTTACTTAAGGCAACCATTGGCCCAGATGTTTACTATCTAACTCCAGAATAGTTATAAATAGGAAATGAGACAATATAAGGTATTTATCACACAGTTTGTCCAATAAATGAAAGTTCTCTACCCTGCTACTGCCCATCACCAACCCATTCATTCATACATACCACTGTCAACAACTATTAACAAGTACCTGCCATGTGCTGGGCTGTAAGGTGCGTGAGGCCAGCAAGACAGATCTGTCTCCTGGACTTGAGTTTATGTACTACCCCCACTGTCCAACTTTCCTTCTCAATTGTTTCCCTCAGAATCTGCTACCTGCTAATGCAGGCTCTCTTTTCCCAGCATTTCTCAGCTTTCTAGAAGTTTCTTCTCACCCCTTCAAACATATAAAAACATCCTCTAGTTGAATCTTATGGCCTCCCTCCAGCAAAACAGTTCTCATTTAGGTTTTCCTTCATGATCCAACTTCCTGGGTGAGTAACTCACCTTCTGACTCCATGTCTTCACCATTGACTCCACTCAAATCCTTGTCAGTCACTCTTGCCTCTCACACATCTGAAACCACATGCTTCAAAATGAAAACTCTGGCATGAATTCCAAAGATCTTTTCCTTCTTTTCTTTACTTCTCTACAACTTCTGACTGGATAAGTTTCTGCCTCTTCAACCAGTTACAGTAGATGCCTTGATGCTGCTTGGGTCTCACTTTTATTCCTACCTCTGAAACTTCTGTCTTCCTGGCTCCTTTGTCCCATCTTTGCCCTAGAAACAAGGATGATTCCCATAGGTTGGTGTTTATGCAATGTTTTCCTTTCTATCCTGGGGATATTCACCCACATCCAGGGTTCTATTTTCCACCTCTACAAAGATAGTTCCAAATTCCAATCAACTCCTTTTCCGAACTCATCTTTTATTTCCAAATGGCTACAAGTTTTGAATTAGGCATCAGCTGAAAACCACCTTCCTCTACACAGTTGCCATTAACTCCTCTCCCTGCTTTTTCTATCAGATGTTCTATTATCCTCTCAGATGTCCCAAATCCAAACTCTTACACCTCGCTCTCTTTTCTCCCAAATCAAGTCACCAGGCTCTTCAGACTCTTTTGCAATGTCATTCGTACCCTTTCCCTACCACTAACACCATGAAAATTCAAGTCCATAACTTCTTGCTTCAGAACGGAACCCTGCCATTATTCTCTTCCACTCTAATCCTGAATGTGACCACTAGAGTGACTATCTCTGTCAGTCGTCTGGTCAGACCCATAAATCTGGTCTGATTATTGGGTCTCGGGGGGACACCCTGTGCTCTGGCCTCGGTGTATGCTTCTTCATCCTGTCTCCTGCTATTCCTCCAAATTTGCCCTCCAGTAAAATTCATCTCTCTCAAGTCTGCCTAACACTTTGGTACTCCTTTTACATCCCCCCCACCCACTAACAATTCCTACCTCCTACATGAATCCAGCCCCTCGATCGCGCCCTCGGGCACAAACTCAGGATAGGAGATTTAATGACGAATGTAAGGCGCTTTGGGGCGGAAAGAGGCAGGGCTAGGTGGGCGGCACTCTAGACTGGGTGTCAAGCCCACCCATGGTCATTAGTCCCGAGTTAGGGGAAGAAGAGACGGCAGAGCGGAGGAGGACCCCGCAACCTCCACCTCGAAAGTCCAGGATCTGGCGCGCAGTGGGTGCGCACCGCAGGACCGCTGGCAACAGTGCCACGGCACACACCGCAGGGGACAACTTTGCGTCCGCACCTTTCCAGCGGGGACGTGGCCACACACATCTGCAGACTGGCTCCGCATGCGCCACCCAGTCCTCTCCTACAGCGCCTCCCCCAAACCCCCAGCGTCCCCTTCTCTCGGCCGCTGCGCTCACTTGGCTCCTGGAACATACAGACCCGCAACCCTCACCTCCAGCACAGAGTGCTCGGGACCCGGGTAGACTGCACCACTTCAGGTCGGACGGCAGTGCGCCTGTGCGAAGGCCCCGGCGGCCGCGCTCCCAACCAATGCGCTGTCTTCGCGGGACTTCAATTCCTAGAAGCCCCGGCGGCCTGCGCGCCTAGAGATGACGTATATGACCGCGCAAGCGCACCCGCCGGAGAGAGGCTCCGGGGCTGACACGACCCCGCCCGCTTAGTGGTCTCCCTAGCGGCAGAGGTGCAGCTGCAGATGCCTGGGAGGCTTAGGGTCGCCCTGAAGTCTGCCCACGTGTGATGCCACATTCCTCCAGCCCTCCATTTATAGAGTTGTCCAAAGGAAATGCGTCCCTAACCTTGGGTACAACGAAGGCGATATCCAGTCTTCTGGCTCCGCTTCCGCCTATCCATTTGCAGGAATTTGATTCTGAGATTTGGGGAGAGAGGTTTGGAGTTTGGTTCTGAAGACTGCGCTATGGCTGAGGGACGGTCTGCGCGCATATTTGTACCGGAAGAAAAGAAGGGCCCACGGTAGTACGTGTACTTAACTGGGCAGCGGGAACTGAACGCCCAACGGTTTGAACACACCAACCTGCCTCTCGTGGTGCTGCTGGAGAGGCCCAGGCTGGAGACGTGGCCGATTCTTAACCGTGGAAGAGTATGAAAAGATCCAGAGGTGACTCTACTGCGCAGCTAAAGAGCCACCGAGCTACATGGAGTTTCAGAGAAGATTACACAAAGAAGGTGAAACTCTTACTTCAGGAACAAGTCTACTTTTTCACTTAAAAAAAAAAAAAACACCTAAATTACTTATTGTAAAAAAAGTTGCTGCCCAAAATGAGCTCATGACCCAGTGATAAAATTAATATTTGAAATTACAATACAATGCAGTATGTTCAATAGGGGAAGTACAAGCGAGGAAGCAACTAACTATGGCTCAGAAAGGTGTATCTAGTGCACTTGATTAATGAATATTTATTAAGAAAGTGCAATCTATGCAGAGAATAGCACATGCAAGGCATAGACTAGAGGATGAAAATGCAAAGAATTAACAGCAAGATGAACAGCTGGTGGATAAGGTTCAAGGGCTGATTATAGTATCCTGGGATTAGGCTGAAGCAGACTTAGTTGTACTGTCTGGACTTTCCTAGGAGAGTAGAACTTGATTAAAGTTATGACATCTAAGATATATTTTCTTGCTATTTTGATGTTGGTTTTTAGTATATATTTAGCCTTATATTGACAGGAAACTTTGGAGGTCCTAAATGAGTTTCCTCCTAGAGTTCCTCATCCACCGGCAGGGCCTACATCCTAGGTTTTATTGTCCCAAGTAACTGTCAAAGTGGAAGTTTATGACTTCATGTCCCTACAACTATATGTGCTTGTGTATGTTACTAAATGGGATGTAAGTGGATATATTGTATAGCATCTTCTAACAACCTGCCTTAAAAGACAACTAAAAAGAAACTGCTATTCACATGACTACAAGAATGACTCAGGGCTTTATACCAAGTGACAGAAGCCAGTCTTAACAAGGTTTTACATACCTGGTGATTCCACTTATAATATGTTCTGGAAAAGGCAAAACTGTAGGACAGAGAACAGACCAGTGGTCATAAGGGATTGAATGGGAGAAGCACTTGACTATAAAAGAACACAAAGAGAATGTTGGGGTGATGGGGAACCTATAGGCTGGTGGGGACTGGAATTCCCCTAAAAGTGTTTTGAGATCAAATGGCCCATCTAGAGCACTGAGCCAGGGAGAGAACATTCCTGTTAGCACTGATTAGCACCCAGGCAACAAATGTACATTGTAGCAAAGGCCTCTGGGTCAAGATTTGTCTCAAGGGACTGAATTTAAGAGTGGAGAGTTTCAGTGGGGTGTAGTGGCTCACATCTGAAATCCCAGCTACTTTGAAGGAAGGATAAGCACCAGGATTTCAAATTCAAGGCCAGCCTGGATAATTTAGCAAGACCTGGTCTTAAAAATGGGGGGGGGCACTTTCAGACAGTGCAGCAGGCCATTAGAAGAGATATCAGGGACAGGGAGAACCCCTTAAGTTCATCTGAAGCAGTTCCAGCTCTTCCTAATTATTTGGAGATGAAAATCTCATTTGTCTATCCCTTTGCCTTTTTGGCTCTAGGGCACAGGAGATGGGAGCAGAAACTCCTGTGCCACCCATGGCTCCCAGGCAGTGCCCCCTGCTTGGGAGGAAGAAGATTTGCTTACTGGGCAAATCTTGGGCATCTGTGCCACTGGAAGTGCTGGCAGAAGAATGAAGCACACTGAAACAACAAGAAGGGGAAATGGCCTTTCTTCCCTGGTTTTGTGAATTATTTATCTTGAACCCCTAAATAGAACTGATAAAGCAACTGCCCTGTCCTCACAAGCCTCCCCTCTTTGGCTGAGGGCTGCCTTCAGAAAACACACTTTTCATGCTCAGTTTGTTTTAGACTGTTGCAGCTGCTAACAAAACACCTTAGACCAGGTAATTGAAAAACAACACAGCATTTGTTGCTCCCAGTTCCAAAGGCTGGAAAATCCAAGAACAAAGTGCCACTAGCTTAAAGGTCTTGTGAGGGGCCCCTTCTACACCTACCCACATCGTGGAAGGGAAAAAAGGAACTAATAAGCTCTCTCAAGCCTCTTGTGGGCACTAATCCCTTTGTGAAGATCTGTCCTCGTGACCTTTTGGTCTAAAAACAAAAGCAAAGCAACAACAGTTCTGAACCATCACCTTGAGGGTTAGGTTTCAAAAAGAATTTTGGAATTTCAGGCATTCAGCGCATCCTAGACCCATTTCTTTTACGGTTCAAAATGATACTTCTGGAGCACCTGGGCACCCAAAGTCCTCCTTTCTTCTCCATCACCCTCTGTTGAACTCAAAACTGGGACTGGAAGAAAGGCAGA